AGCGGTACATGGATTTGTTTGTTGGCCAGTCCGCATTTAGTCTGCGTCATTTTATAGGTCAGGAGAACCAACAGAGGGTTGCTAGCTTTGTTAGAGAGGCGTTTAGGACTCGAGACTACATTCAGACCTTGTCTCATGAGCCACCCATGGCTCCTACGGGACTATAAAATAAATTGATTGATTGATTGAAAATTGATTGACACGTTGGAGTCGGATGGACGCCACCGCACAAAGACTCAAAGAGGATGCTTTTGTCAGGCGTTCTGACAGCGAGAAAATGTCGCCGCAAGATTCGCAGCAACGAACGGTGGACGTTGGATGCAAGGGCCTTCCCCGTCATGGCTCCGAGCTCCCATTGTGGTGCATAATGCACCTAGTGGACGAGCTTTGAAGTTTGAAGTTTGGAGTGGAGCCAAAGTTGTTTGGAAGGAAGAATCATGGCGCGTCTGATTCTGAGTGCTTGATGCGGCCGCCCGAAACAGAAAGACTTTGAGGACTTCGCCTTGCCCTCCCAAGCTCTTATAGGGGCTTGGTTTTAAGTTCTGACTCTCCGTGTTCCATGAGTTCCAAAGGAACTGCATTTGGCTGTTTAGAAGGCCGCCTCTCAAGCTGGACGGGGCACTCAGAACAAAGTCCTCTGAACAAGTTGCCCTCGGCAATCCAAGCACACCAAAAGGTTTCTTTACGCGTGCCTCAACGCCCCGTCACAATCTGTTCATCTTCTCTTCCTTAAAACGGCCCTTGATTGAGCAACTCAGCAGCAGCTAGATTTGACAGCCATATGGCTGTACTCCCAGCTGCAAGCGTTACAGAACAGAAAGCCCCACCCCCTGCTGAGGTTGGGATTGCAATTGCAGGGGGGGGATTGGGTGGGCTCGCTTTGGCGGTGGGCCTGTTGGAGCGGGGCTTCGATGTGCACGTCTTTGAGGCGGCTCAGGAGCTCAGGACGGGTTCGGGAACGATCATAGGCATCACAGCCAATGGTGCGTTGGCAGGCATGTGCCTATGGCTGTTATCTGTTTGGTGTCAAGGACGTGCTGCTTTGGGTGTTGCTAATACTGGCCCCATGATATGGAGAGGTTCACTGATCAGCTACAATAGCTACAGCCCCTGTCCCTCGAGAGTTTGTTTGGGCGTCTGATGGATGGGCCTTGTCTTTCGTGGGAGACATGCTATGGTCATCCTCATGAGGGCGTCTCCATGTCATTTACTGCTTCACTTGGACCCTCTTTATTGGACCCTCTGTATTCAGAGCTGGTCCTGTCGCATTTGAGGTGCTTTTACTGCCAGGCTGTCATGCCGGCGAACGTCTGGCAGACTGTCAAGACGTTAAGTTGCACCAGGTCACAAGCAGACCATGTCTATCAATGATGCTTAATTGTCCTTGGAACTTCTGCAATTCGCACCTGGCACCTATTGTTTCCTACACGCTGCACGCCTCAGCTCCTCTCATGACTCTTAGACGCACACTTCTGTGGCAGTGGCTTGGTGTGACCTCCACGAGCTGGCGCGGAAACTCGTAACGAGCTGCTCTATCTGGGCCTTCAGCACCCCTTTACTCACATCTGTCTCCACGTTGGGCGAACCAGTGCATCACTTTGGACGTCCCGTTATGCTTTTGCTTTGATCAAGTCCTCTGTCCTTTTATGGCTTTTTAGTCTTGGAGCATGACCTTAGTACGCTCATGTCCCAATTGAAATTGGTGAATCAGGGTCAAACAAACATAGTCAGGTGTGGATGTTCTACATCTCAGGGTATTGCTTGAAGGTCAGAGGTCTCTATCAAGTACATCAGATACAAGGTCTTCCTTACTTTCAGCTCATTGAATCATAGGAGTTGCTTTTACTTGTCTCTGCAAAGGTATCCTACAAAGCAGACCTGCTGGGCAACTTGCTCAAATCAGAGTGGCTCTGCTGGACAGACACTTACCTAAGCTCTACGCCAAAGATTTTTAGCAATTGTTTTCTGGAGCCTATTCTGCGCAAATGTCTTAGCTAAGGTGTGCTGAGTCCAACACTTTGAAATTCAAACCTAGCCTTTAATTATCGTACAGCGTTTGCGCTATCTAGCCTAGATTGAAATTGCCGACCTAGGTTTTTCCCTGGACGCTGTGAAGGGCCAGGTGACCCTAACATCAGGCTAATCTTTAACCCACAGCTTAGCCAACCGCAACATCTTATCCCACTGCAGCAAACACTGCTCTGGACGGTCTCAAACCCGGGTTAGAGCGGGCGGTCCGGGAGGAGGGGAGCGTCTCAAAGGAATGGCTCTCCTACCGGTTGCAAGACGGAAAAGAGGTGGAGAAGAAGAACATCAAGATGGGGATTACAGTCATCCGCTGGCAAAGCGTCCAGAACGTGCTGGCGAAACTGGTGCCCCCTGAGCGTGTGCACTGCGGCCACAGGCTGAGTGCTTATGAGGCCGTGCAGGTGAGCGCTTATGGGAATATATGGGCCTGCGCTGCGGCCATAAGCTGAGCGGTTATGAGGTCGTACAGGGGTTGCTTACGAGGATATATGGGCCTGGGCTGCGGCCATAGGCTGAGCACTTATGAGCCCGTGTAGGTGAGCGCTTATGAGGGTATAAGAGCCAAAGAGCCCATGAGTTTGGGATATGTTCTGCGTCATTACAAGTCACAAGGACGTGTCTTTGAGACCTTATGACATGCAGTTCGAGGCCTTTGCCACGCTTGAGCTTTTAGGGTTTTAGGATTCCCTCCAGAAGTACTTGCAGAAACAAGATGCTCAGGAGATTGCGCGTTTTCACTCTGTGGCGGGCTGGCGACGAAGAAGGGCGTTCTATTGATTATATATGTTTACCTGGATCAAAGATGCTAAAAGCTGCGGGGCTTTTTGTGGTTTGTGTGCAAGTGGCGAAGCTTTGAACTGCCAGTTTAAGCGGTAAAGACGGCGAACACAGATGCTGACAAGCGTTGAATGTGATGCTGAGGATCAAGCAGCTGCTTTCGAAGGACTCACTCAAGCTGGGCCACTCTCAATCTGACAAGCAACTTCCCAATGTTGCAGAAGTCTTTGGTTTGTCCGTTCTCTTCCCTCATGAGCCACGATTGCTGAATGCTTCACCAACATTCCGTGAGGATCAGGCTTGGGAGAAAAGAAGAGGGAAACACTCCGGCAGATGAAAGAAAATGAAACTAGAAAGGGGAGGCGCGTTCTTATCGGGACTCTTTCTGGCAGGACGGCGTTGACGTCACGTTCGACCTGGTGGGTTCGTCAGGCGAGCATCACTACACGCACCGCAACGAGCAGGCGGCGTGCGGACAGCGGACGGTCCGAGCGAAGCTTCTGGTCGGTGCGGACGGAATCCGGTCCGCCGTCCGGCGGATCATGGCTGGTCAGCGGCTCATAACCCTATGCATAGTGAAGGTTTCGATCGTCGTGGAAGTTAAAGATGCCCTCGGAGATAACGATTTGAAATCAGGAAGTCCTATGCTCTGTCAAACCTTCAACAAACTCGAGGTATCAGTATCAACTCGAAGTGTCTATATTAGGAAGTTCGAGGCTCTGTCGAAGTGTCCAACGGAGTCGAGGTATCATCATCGGTTCGACTTGTCGACAAGATAAAAGCCTATGCTCTGAAAGTGGTTTAACAAGCTCGAGATCTCTGCTTCAAGTTTGTTGGACATTTCGGCATAAGATAGCGCCTCGAAATCAAAAGCACAAGAAGCTTTCGATGGAGCCCACTTGCCTTGTTGAAGATCATGGCAGGTATGCACCAACTATCCGACATCTCACAAATGAAAAGGTGTATTCGTTACTGGTGCTTCTTGACCAGCAATTTGACATGCTATATTGACCATTCGATCACTTCACTTCGTGGCGACTATTTTCGGCAAAGGAACCTTCGGAAAGAGAAGTAGGGTTGAGGTCGTGGATCAATCAACAGAATGAACGTTGGAAACGCTGGTCGCTCTTTCTGCGAGCTACTGTCAGAAAGTCAATTCGGATGAAGCCGACTTCAGAATTTCTTTCTGACATGAGATGACGATGACCATTCAGCAGCGCACGTCTTTAAAACCGTATTCGCTTAAGAGGACCTTCAACCCGCTGATTGACCGGAACGGCGGAATGATGCGTACTGCGCAATGAGAATTATATCGCGGACCTGAGCTTATTGTGCGGCGCGGGTCGATTCATCTGGCGTATGATTCCATTGTGTTGTCTGCAGGCGACGCCCCGCGGTACGTGCACCACCTGAACTGGAACGCCGTCGTTCCGACGGAGTTCATTCCGGGCCTCGAGAAGGACACCCTGCACCGGACGGAAGATGACGTCACGGGGCTCATCACCTTCAAGGCGGACGCAGGTAAGCATCGGCTTTCTTGCGCAACGCTCTCTTCTATAGAGCAAGCTTTTGATCGTTTCTGTTTTGGGTTGTTGGGTAAATTGGACTTAGTCTGTCCAGTCTCGAGATGGGTCGAACCACGTATGCGCAGATGCTATGCGGCACTTCGGCCTCGATGTCGCCATCTGACGGTTGTCGTAATAGGGGTTTGGCGACCAAGACAGGTCTACAAGGGCTTTGAAGTCGCCAAAAGCGGAGTCGTCTCACAACGCCCTTTTTGAAACGTGGGTTTGGCTTGCTTGACTTAACCTGTCCGGTTCATACTTAACCTGACCCGGTTTTCTCCAGGCCACGGCTGGAGTTTCTGGCAGGTCCGCGTGCGGGATACGGACGGCCGACTCGCGGACGCCCTCGGACCGAAGTGGGGGGGCCTCGGGAAACCGGGCGCAAAACAGAGAGCGCTGGAGCATCTCGAGGGACTGGGAAAGGCGTGAGTGACCTTCCATGACTTGTAGTTGGGCAGAGTAATGTTCGTGCATAAGCGACTGACAAGGTGCTACTAGTTACAGCTGTTTGCGGAAAACTTGCACCCTCAAAAGCTGCGGGAACTGCCGAACACACTATCTTAGGCCGTCCGATTGGCCAGTTCTTGCTGATCGGATGGATTAAAGACAAGTAAACGAGGATTTTGGCCGGAGGTGACGGTGGCGAGTGTCCAGCACACAACTGTAGTTAGAGGGACTTGCGAGCAGCAACTCACAATCCTGCACTTTTGGGGTTGAGTACACTGCCTGGCTGACGTCGCCACTCGACCTGCAAAGCAGTGCGCTTTTCGTCGCGCCGAGGTCGTTCGCAGAGAATTTCTGTTCTGAAGGATGGGCCACTTATCGTCGATAGTCAATCTGTCCACCCTCCGATCCTGACAGCGCCTAGCAAAGTCCTGGAATGAGACCTGTCTTTCTACCGAGAGTCCGCAACCTAATCTAAAATTTCAACAACCAGTTTAGAAGCCCCTTTGTTCTGTACCAATGTAGTTACAATGCCGTCCGATCCGCCATCGAATCGACGGCGGAGGCGGACATCTTCGAGCGCCGGCTGATGGCGAACGGACCGATTGACACGTGGCTCGACGCGGACAGCCGAGTGGTCCTCCTTGGAGACGGTGAGCTTATTCTGCTCTCAACGCTCTAATCACTTGTACTTCTACTACACACCTGGATAATCGGTGGAGTTCCCGGGCTGAAAAAGCACCTAAACTAGTTTTGAAAGAGGCTTCAAACGTCATAGTGATTGATCCGCTTGACTCAAACCAGGAAAATGTCCAACTCGTTTAAGTCTACGGATCGGAACTCCACATTCATCTGGCGGGGTTTTTCGCCTCAGGGATGATTCAGCGACCCCTTTTTGTGCAATTGCAAACTCTGCTATTTCAAGCCGTTAAAGAGGGCGTCGATCAGCGGATGCATCCGCAGAAGCGACCGGTGAGAATGGAATGCACGTCGCCGGATTCACACGAGCTAAATATTAGCAGCGACGACGAAAGTAACTCTCCACGCGTTGAGGACGCCGCAACAGCCACGTGGGTCACCTTGATGTCCAACGCCCACTTTCAAGACGACCTGCTCGGGTAGTCGAGTCCCATTTATAGATTCTCAAATAGCACCCGGAATGAATCTACCGACTACTTTTGTTGCAGCCGCACACGCGATGCACCCCGGCCCCGGGGAAGGCGCCCGGCAGGCGTTCGAGGACGCGCACCAGCTGTGCCTCGCTCTAGTTGCCCAGGGGCCGCGCGCGCTCGAGCGCGGCGCCGTGCGACGGGCGCTCCAAAGGTGACGTCAGCGGACTGAACTCGTGCGCCTGAAGGGTGTGGCAGTGAAGCCTCACGCCGGAAAGACACGGTGTTTGAACAACTGCTGCCGGGCCATTCATAATTCGGTCCCACTTTTGGGGTCCGTTTTCCCATGGTGTCCGCCCCGCCCCCCCCTTACGAATGTCAGACGGGGCAATCTTCTCCCGCTTCGCTTTTGAGCCCGCGCAACCATCCTCTCTTCGACGGGATGGTCTGCAGACGTTGTCGAACCGGCCGTCTGTCCGTCCTGAGTCAAAGGAGCTTCCTTCGCTATTTGAGAAGTGAATGGAGGCCTGGGATACGCCAAACTTATGATGGAATCAGGTCCTCGCAAAGTCAAAAGTCTTCTGGGGAACGGACCTATTGCGAATACGATGCATGAGAAGACCGTCTGAATAGTTTCTGTCCGTTATTCGTCTTCCCTTTGGTCGAAGCCCAGCGAATCCTGCGCTCATCCATTCCAGGTTATCGATGAACAACGGAACTGAAGTGCCCACCAAACTCGACAATTGTGCGAAACACAAAGCTGAAAATCTACGTACGTCAAAGTCAGTCGTCATTCTGTCAAAAGCGAGTCCTAGACAACTGCGTAATGCCGGTGTAGGTACGAGCTACTTCGCAAGCACCGGTGCGAAACGGTCCAGGCGATGGCTTTGGAGGGCAGCGGCCTGCCGCCGGAGGAGACGGTTCCGCCGGAAATCCGGGGCTTCACCCGGGAGCAGCGAGTCGACCGGTTTATGGAGTTTGCGAGCTGGTTGAGAACCTACCCGAACAACCCGGTCGGCGATCCGAACAGCCGGTTCTTCAAGCCGCCGGCGGGTTTGCAGAGACTGGTTGAGGAGTTGGGTTAGATACCGGGTTAAGGACATGGGTGTGACGAGACACCGAGTTGGGGAACTGGATTGAAACGTGACTCTGAAATCATAAATGTGGGTTTGCAAATTGGGTTAACGAAAGAAGCTAGTTTGAGGAGACTGGACAAGGCACCGGGCGGCCAAGCGAGCGCATAAGCGCTCGTTGCGAAGTTGAGATTTGGAGAACTAGATTAGGAGATTTTAGTTGCAAAGGTTCGATAAGGTTTCGTTTCGGTGTACATGCTGTGTGGAGCGCTGAGTCTGCTAGACTTGTTGGTTAGACGTTTGGGCTGCCAGAGTCCGAAGAAAAATGATAATAAGAAGCTGGACTGCTGTAAAATCAAAGTGTCTGTGAATCGATACACGGGTAGCTTCGTAGGCCCGTCAGAGTTAAGGCCCCTTTCTGATGTGAGGTTTTGCAAGAGCATCTGGACGCAATGCTTTATAGCATAGGTATAAGCAAAAGCGAAATAGCATTAACGGACCAAGCATAAGCTGTTGAGCATAGTGAGATTGCATCTTGATAGTCTTTCGGATTGGGTGTTTGCGAAGTTTGCCGTCAAATCGAGGAACAGGGTCTACAATTCAGGTCATGAGCTGAGTTCCAGTACGAGTAACCGGATCTTTCAGACGCCTTTGTGAGTGGCAGATTAGGCTTCGACGTCAAGTAGCCTCGTGGAAGCTACGCGAACTGACCATTCAAGCCAACCAGGCTATACTAGCTTACGCTTTTACCGTCCTTCCGCTAGCTCTGTTCATGCCATCAAATTTAGTACGCTTTCATCCAGCTTCTATAAGGAGGTTAAGTGGTTGCCAGCAAGTCAACGTTTTGCGGGTCCGTATCTCACTGTACGTCAGCACGTTCAGCTATATGTGAAGGCTCCATCCCGAGATTACTGGGCGCCTTGGCAGCTCAAGACGTAGAAATTGGAGAGCATACCTCATGCTGAGTTCAGGTGTGCAAGGGTGAAGGGCAAGCTTGACGCATGCATCATATGATCGGAAGCGGATCGCAGTGACTCGGCTAGATTCGAATAAGTTATGAATAGCTTCTACTCTCACTCGGTCTTTCGTTTCCGTAGTGTTAGCGCCCACTCAGTGAGCTCGGGACCTTTGAGCGCTCGGGATGGCCCACACTTTGGCTGCTTCCTCTGCCGGTGGCATACAGTCGCCGCGTTCCGGCTCCGGCGTTCCGCCATTGGCCGCTTGCTCGGGAACGTACGGCGCCCGGGGCCGCCGGGCGCGCGCGCGAGCGCTTCCACATTTTCACGAGGTCGATTGTCAGCACGAAAGTCCCTGGTCGTTCGCCTGAAGTGCAGTGAGCGACAGCGGGCGTCCGCGGATTGTCCGGCCGGAAGCTGACTAGCACGGTCAGTTCGTTAGAACTTGAAGTGGTCGCCCGATCAAGTCTAGAGTCGAGCTGCGTTGCTCAGTGCCAACCCGCATGCCCTGCTTGGCCCCAGCAAGATTTGATCTCATGAGCTGTCGACATCAACTGACGAAGTAGCATGTGCAGCTGTCACGGTCATTTAACCAGGCCGTTCTTATTCAAGCTGTAGCAAAGAATCTCAACCCTGTAGTCTTTACTGCACAGACCGGTGAGATGGGACGTCTCAAGATTGAAGGCATCCATCAGATCCATCTGCCTGCCGAAGCGTCTCTTCGACAAGGGCTACGACACCATATTCTAGCTCTGATGTTCCCATTCTCTTAAAGCATCTACCGAACAGATGTCTCCTGGGCGAATCGGACCGCGCGCTACATGGGCGTCGCGAGGAAATCAACAGCAAGTTCTCTTTCAGAAGACGACGGAGCTTAGTTCCCGGACAGCAGAAAAGGGGCAGCTGAAAGGGAGAGCTGGGTCGCTACAACGCTGCTGTTGGACCCTTCTTCTGATGCCCTGTGCTAACGACGGTCGGCGATTATTCTGAGAAGGTTGGTAATCTGAACTTGCATGCCAGCTATTTTCATGGGCGGAAAGTTATTGTTTCTAAAATTCTATTGACTCAAAACAGCGTCAAAATGTTGCGCGTCAAGAAGCTCTTGACATCACAACTTCCGGAGAGTGCAGACTCGTGGGAGTGAGGTTCTTGGTGTGTCCCACCCACCAAGAGAAGGAACTTCGCATGCAGTGGTTTAATACCTTTAGAAGTTATTCTGAAGTTTGCCGTCCTTGCTTTGGTTATAGCTTTAGGAAAGGTGCCTAGCTCTTTGTTGGCGAAGTTCAAAACTCTCGACTCTCGTTATTCGCAATCAAACAAACTGAAGCTCAGCGAGAGTTGAGAGTCTGGTATGAGATAACAGGACAACTTTCACCAAACCTCTCTTCCGTGAGCTCGGGGGAAAATTAGTCCCACGAACTTGTTTCAGTTACTTGCACGTCCTTGGTCGTAGCTTTCATCCCCGGGCCCTCTTGCTTCGACGTAATTTGTCCTCCAAACTCATGGCAAGCACGGGGTTAGTGAACCTGTCTCCCCTTGTTGACACTCCCAAATACTGTCCCCGAAAAGCATTCCGACTAATGTGTGTCACTAGACACACGCCTCTGGACTTCTCCTTTCCGCAAAGAAAAAGCGTAATTAGAAAGAACATATAAGGCATGGCTAATGCCAGACTCTCCATCAGCCAGACTCTCCAAAAACCGCCAAGTAACCTGTCAAGATTTTCTTGCAGCATGTGGCCCCCGGTACAAGAGCCCGGGCGCTCAAAGGCCCTGTCAGTTATCAAGACCGACATCCTGAGCACTTATATCGACGACAAGAAGGCAGTCGACGAGGCCTGCAAACGGGTCGGGTTCTGGTACTGGTGCAACGGGCGCAAAAAAGGGCGACCAAAAGAGGTCTACTGCCTCTGTGTGAAGAACCCCGAGCTGATTGACCGGTTGAAGGAAGACGAGTATGTGAAGCTGGATGAAACAAAGGAGGTTAAGAAGGGGGTTAAGAAACGGGTCAACTTCAACGAGCGCGGGATGTGCAGCATCAACGGGGAGGAGTGGGTGTTGTATTACGTGGGCAAGTTTGTGCTTGGGTTGAGCAAACCTGTGCCGGAAGTCGAAGGAGAAGCGGGGGTAAAGAAGCGGGTTAAGAAGGAGACGGCGGCAAAGAAGAAGGATGAGATTCGGGCGGGCCAGTGGAAAGCTAGGCAACTGGAAGGACCTGGGCAAGGGGAACGTTCCGCTGGGCTGCATAGGGCACGGAAGCGGAACGACCGGAACGAGGGGGAGCGGTGGAAAAGAAAAGCTGTGGACGACGAAGAAGACGAAGGGGCCGGGCCCGGCTTGTCAAAGCGGACCCGGAACATGCAGAGTGCTGAGCGGAACCGGAAGGAGCGGAAGCGGAAAGAGCGAGCCGCCGGATGGAAGCGAAAAAAGGTGGAGTCGAGCGAAGATGGAGGGGCGGGTCCTGGGCACGGCGCGTCGGCCGTAGCTTCGGTTTCGGTCCGAAAGAAGCATGGAACGGAACAGAACGGAAGTGAGCGGAATAAAGGATCGAAGGGCAAGCGGACGGAATTGGATGCAGGGTGCGTGCGCGGCCGCGGTGCGCGAGCCCGCAGGCAGCGAAACGATGGGTCACAAGAGTGGAAGGCAAAAAGTGTGGAGAGCAGCAGCGAAGAGGAAGACGTTCCGATCAATGAGAGGCAGCGGAAGCGGAACCGGAAAGATCAGGCGGTGAAGCACGTCAGCAGTGAAACAGAGAGCGATGATGAGGCGGGGAGATGTGTCGGGAAGAAACGATGCGAGCGGAGGAGCGGAAAAGGCGTCGCGAGGATCGTTTCGAAGGCTGCAGACAGGGGTCGAATGACGAAGCGACACGTGGCGAGCAGCGGAGTTGGCGGGCTCACTTCGAGAGCGAAAGGGAAGCCGCCTGTGAGGAGACGAGTTCCGCTGAGAGCGGTGCCGCCGCGTATAGGGAAAGCAACGCGGAAGGGGGATCCTGCCGGAGGCGCGGGGAGAATTCCGGCCGCTAAAGGAGCAGGAAAGAGTTTTGAGTCAGAAAAGCAAGACGAAGATTCAAGCTCCAGTGACAAGGTCTTGGCGGCTTTTGGAAAGCGCGGCTGTGGAAGCCGAAAGCCACTGAAAAAGCCTGGCGATTTACAGAGAAACCGGTTCGGCAGGCTTGAAGAAGCAGGGCTCGATCCTCCTTCCAAGAGTTCCCTTGTCGGCCCGGGACAGAAGAAAATGGATAAGACCCGGGGGTTAGAGCTACCGAACGATATTCTTCGCCATGACAAGGTTTTTCTGCAACCGGGGTTGGCGACCGGTTCTCGAATGGCGGAGATTGACGCTTCGAAAACTGGTGCGAAAGGAGCTACGGCAAACTACAATACGCAGACTGCTCGTGCTCAAACGGCGGAGATCGACGGAAAGAAAGGAGCGGCGGGCGCTGTAACCGGGGAAAAGCTTTTCAGGGCCGAATGCGAGTACGAGAGCTCAGGCGGACGCCCGGTAGAGTCCCCCGACTGGGTGAAGATCTTTATGGCCGAGGAGCCGGGCGACCAAGGAGAGGGAAACGAGGGCGGTGAGTCGCCCCGGTCGGCGCAAAGTGCGCCCGGTTCTAGAGAGGGACAGGCGAGCGAGAAAAGACAACTGACCAGCCCAGAAGGTGTGAGGCCGAAAGTGGTGTCGCCGGAAAAGGCAATGGGCGGTTTAGAAGTTCCGGGGCAGAAAGGGGGCGATTCGGCTTTTCCGGTCAACAAGGAGCCGCATTCCGTGGGCGGTATCAATCCCCCGAGCAAAAGCTGCGACAAGCGTGCGACCGGTTTCGAATGTGGAGCACGGGACACGAGACTACTGGGCGGGCTTCATCACCAGCTTGAGAGAGAGGCGACGGATCCACGCTTCGCGAAGGAAGGGGAAACGCTCTCTGTGGCCAGTCCCAGATCAACCGGAGAACTTTCGGTAGGCAGAGCGGATCCGGCGAAAAGAGAAGCCGTGGAACTGCTGGGCGGAGCGCCGAAGCAGGTCGGCGGAGCTTTCGCCTCGAAGCAACCGGATGCCCGTCCGCTGGACGCGGCCGAGGGTGCGGCGGATTCCGGCGGAGCGGGCGACGCTGCGGGAATCGAAGCGGCAGATCTTCTTTGAGAAGCAGGCGTCTAAACTGTTCCAAACGGTGGATGAGCCCGAAAGTGATGGCAGTAGGGAGTCCTTCTTTTCACGACAGGTGGCACTCTGAGGGGGCGTCTGCGGGAGCGGGGATCAGTCTTTTCTTGGTGTAGATAAGGCGAGGCTAGAAAATGCTAGGAGACGTGAAGCAAAAGTTGTTCGTTTCCAGCCATATAGAGCGCTGATGTCGGAGAAAAGCCCAACAAGCAACAAGCTCAACAAGCCCGTTGGCCAGGAAAGCTATATCCAAAAGACAAGAAACTAAAAAATGGTCAAAACGTGTAATGACGGTACGATGGCAGATCGAGTGCGCGGTCGTAAGCTTTCGCTTGAAGCGAGAACAAAGCGCTCAGAATTCCCGGCATGAGGCTGTAGATTGTAGAACATCTAACGTTGTTGCAGGATCCTGGATCCACCTTTTGAGGTCAGATTTTGCATCTAGAGTCGGCCAATTACCCCAATGATCGATGATATGACTTTGTTAATTCTCTCTCGCCATGTATGGTGAGTGGTGGGTGTTCTGATGAACTCTTTCTGATTTCACTATGCAGTCGCCATGCATATGATTTGTTTGCGGCCGCGCCACGAAGCGATTGCATCCAATATATTACACCAGGCATATCTGATACTTTATCAACAGTTTGAAAAAGAGTCATGTTGAAAACATCAGTATTAGACAGAGCCGTACATAGTGGAAGAGGCTGAGAAGTTGATAGCAAGACGAACCGAGATTTCTGATAAGGACAGAAGCAGATGAGGTTTTCCTTTATAAAAGCACCCGAAATTGTCTGGTTTCTGGAATCTCAAAAAATGGGTGGACTGGCTACCATGTTAGCAGTCACATGGCCGAAAGGAAGATAAACAGGTCCGCAGGCAGCTGTTTCACTTTTCTTTTTTGAATCAACGCAGTTGACAAACAGATGCGTAGTGTCCTCCATCCAATTTATTACACAAGCCTTCGTCGCTCCTCCATAATCAAGTATGTTTGTCACGTTTGACGCTAGACGCGTTTGGTCGCAGCTTTGAGAAGTACGTACAAATACTGATATTGATTCAGCATATTATCTCGATTTTCGTGGAGGGCTTGAAACTGGTTTCCCTTTACCACGCCTCCTCCGCTATGTCACTGTCGTCCGGTGTGAACAACTGCGCGTGCGACTCCTCGTGATGCACCTCAAATACCTCTCCGTCGCGCGCGGCCTCGGCCGCGCTCCGTGCGGACGCCTCTCCTGCTACTTCTAAACCCTCCAAATACAAGTCCAAGTCGTCCAGAATGTCCTCTGTCTGTTCACCAAGGTGCGGTTCCAACTCAGCTGACTTTCCACCCGTTTGCGCGCTCCCGCCGCTTCCGGTCTTCGCCGGCAACTCCTCCGTTTCCGCTCTTGCTTCTTTCCGCTGATCCGTTGGAAGCGTGTCCGCCAGAGTGGTTCCTTTTGACACGGACACTTCAGATGTCCGCGAGATGGGGGCTGAACCAGCTGGCAGAGGGTCGTTCATCGGCAGAAAGTCGTTTCTTCTGGGGCGTTCCGAGAAGTGCAAGTTTGGATTTCCAAAGTTAACCTCCGGAAAAGGAGATATTTTCTGCAGCCGCTCACGTTCCGACTCCGCAGCTTCCCTCCCGCTATCTGGAAGGGTGCTATCCAGCGCCGAGGACGGCTTCTCTGCTTTTGAGAAGGAGGGCTTTTCTCGGAGGCTTGGAGAGGCGTCACTTGAAGTCTTCTCCGACTCCAGACCGGTGGAAGAGGGTCCTGACCAAAGATCATTTAACGTATGCTCCCCTTCGGCCCCGAGTGGCAGGTTCCGGGACCCGGCTCCCTTTGCTGGGCTGTCGTCGGAGACGGTTTGTGACCTAGAGGACGTCACACCAGGGGCCAGCGCATGCCCGGCGGTGGCTGGGACCTCAACTTCGGTGCGACGCGCCTTGCCCACTCGGACGTCCGTGCCTGCACTTTCCTTCGCTGCGCCCGGTCGATCGGTAGATTCTATCACTAACGAAGCAACCGCCGTTCCGCGCCGGGTCTCGTCGACCTCCGCCGCTTCGTCAGACACAGACCCCCCGTCTCTCAGATCCGACGTTTCTTTTCTGCTGCTTTCCTGAGAGACGGCAGCGGAAAGCGACGGCCCAAGCACCTGGACTGCTCCCCGTGCATTTTTCGCTTTTGGTTCCGCCCCCGACTCCGAATGCCGGCCATCCCCAACCCATTCCGCTATCTCCCGATCCGCCGTCATCTCCAGACTCCGCCCTTCCGTCGCTTTCGCCACCTCCGTCTTTACACTTGGCTTCCCATTCGACTCCAGCTTCGAAGCATCTTCGACTACTTTGGGTTCGTTCCGTTCCGTGGACTGCTCCAAATTCCGCCCAACCTTGACAACCTCGTCCGCACGTTTTACGACCACTGCCTCGGCAACCCGTACATCTCCGAAATCCACCTCATTTCGTATAACCACACCCTTCTCTGCTCTCGGACTCCGCTTTATCTCTGCCCTCCCGACTTCTACACGTTCCACTGCTCGGTGCTCAACGTCCGCTGTTTCGAATGTCTCGTTCCCGTCAGATTCTTCTCCGTTAGCACGGCTTTGCTCGCGATCTCCTCGACGTGGTTCCCAATCGCTCTCTCTGTCCCAGTCTGGTTAAAATTCTGGGCAGCTGCAGGGGTTCCTTTCTCCACCTGATTCCCCCTACTTTCATGTGCAGACTTCTGCGCGACTCCAGTCACTTCCTCTACCACTCTGTCGTTATTCTGCCGTTCGATTTGAACAACTCCAAACACCTCCCCACCTGTAGGCTTTGCGCTACCCTTTTCGCTCCGTTCAGCTTCCGATACTTCCGTTTCCGTTCGCTCCGCCGCCCTCCATCCTGTTGCCCCGACTTTGCCTGCCCCTTCCAAAGCGAATCCAACTCTCTTCAAGCTCGACTCAAGTTTGGGCGACACTGCTTCTCCCGGCGCCCAGCTGTCATCGTTCCGTTCCGTTCCGGTCGCCAACTGCCTCTCCTCCGCCGCTACATGCTTCACGCTCATCCGATCTTCCCTCCCCGACCGCCGTTCCGTTTCCGTTTGTTTGCTCACGCGTTCCGTTCCCACGGCCTCGACCAGATTGGAAGTTTCAGTGGACTCCAGTGAACCATAATCTCTGTCGAGCTCTGGACCCTTCCTTCTCGCCCGACTTTCTTTTCTTTCTTCGCGCATCCCCGTTGGCCTCGACTTTTGGGCACTTTCTTCTCGATAAGCTTTCCGTTCCGCTTCCGAATTTCCGGTCGCTTCACCATTGTCCACATTTGGAGGAGCGGAAGCGACTGTCGCTCCGTCAGGACCTCCGCTTTCCCATGTTTCAACGGCCATCGTACGCTGGTCCACAGGGTTTGCACCGTTGGATGCTCCAAACTGACGCCCATCGGACGGCTGTGGCGACGCTGGTCGTGTCCGGAACTGATCGGACGGCAGGGACGCCTGGCTGAGGAATCGGACATACTCCTTCACCTCCTGAAGCTCCGTCATCTGGAAGGAGTAAAAGCGTTGCTGTTCAAAGGGGTATTTTGATTCAGAATGGTGCTGACCGTTTTCGAAGAAGGCTGAAAGGTTTCTCGAGAGTCGACGTCACGCTCGATTAAATTGATTAGCCTCAACACTGCAGCCTCCTGCTTCCCAAAACGTACGGCTAGACGAATGGAAAATTGTACGGTATTTCACCCTTGCCGTCGACAGTCGGGCTAAGAGTTCCTGCTACAAGATCGCGCGTCGACTCAATTAGTCGTCCTCAAAACCATGTCGAAGACTCGTCTTCAGCAAGGCCAACGAACCGGTGCAGATAAGCAATCCGTATTGCAAGGGCATGTCGACACTGGACAAATCAAAGCCGGAAATTACCCAGAGGGCAGCCCGAGTGAGTGAGATTGCAGGAATTTTTCCTTTTTTCCCCGATTATGGTACTCTGCACCCTCCCTAAGATTCTGTGGAACGATCGGACCAGGGACGGATAGCCACAGAACGTGTGATTCTGTCTGTCGATTCGAGTTTCTGTGCCTCTCCGTTGCGGCCCGTTGAGAAAGCGAAGATGCGTCAATCAAAACCTCTCACCAAGTTCTGGTTCGATTCCTGTAGCCTGTCGCACTTGCCCCGTATTGTCTCCATTTCCAGCTCGTTCTTGCTGCACCGAAAAGAAGTCGACATGAGCAGGAGGAGAAAAGTCCACCGCAAAAGCTGGTCTTGAGCGAGGCGTTGGTCTCTACTGTGCTAAGGGGCACTCGACTCAACCAAACGTTGCGTGGAGAAAGGAACGGTAGGTCCGGCTGCCGGAAGGAGGTGAAAGAACCATGGGATAATTGACTGGCTTGCTATGTCAGGTGGTTATGTCAGACGACGTGGGATGCTCAAGCTTTAAAGAAGCCAGACTTCTTCCCCCATACCTGATTTTGCTCGGGCTTGGATCCCTCTGCCTCCCCATGCTATTTCCTCTGCTGTACACCGACTCTGCATGCAGGACTCGGCCCCCTCGCCGGCTCTCTCCTCAAAGGCCTTCTCTCAGCAACCCTCTTCTCCAGCCCCTCCACTTTCCTCTTCCACTCGGACCGTTCCTTCTCAAACAGGGCCTTCTGTCCCCTGAGTGCGTCAGTCAGGCGCTTAATCTCGGCATAGAGCGCTCGGTTCTCTTCTTCGATCTCTCGGAAGCGGTGCGCACGCGTGCTGCCCTTGACCTGAGCCAGCTCTGAGGCGATCTCAATCTGCTGGGACTTGATCTCGCGCGCTTGCTGCTTCAGCCGTGCCACCAGCTGAAAAGTACAGGGAACACAACATAATTTACTTGGTCTGTGATTACGCTGAGCTTGCAGGTTCTTTAAACATGGTGTGCCGGCATCCAAACTGCTACTTCTATTATGGCGGGTCCTAATTTATGAAACAAACGAGTTTGACCCTAAACAATAGTCGTCAAAGTCGATGTTACTCGTGCAACGAGCTGGACACTGGGGGCCACTTAATCAGGGGCTGCACTGTGATTCGTCTCTTGCACTGCAGGTTTAAATTGCAGAAGCGTGCATGTTGCAAGCAAATCAAGGCGCACAGTCTAAGAAAGAACATCTTTCATTTTGGAACTTTGGAGGGAACGTGCATGTAAAGTCTAGATCAACGCAATCTCCAGCGTTTGATGAGCTACTCTTTCTGATCACGTGGCTTGCCTAACGATACAAGCTTTGAGTGGTCGAATGCTTCACGCACCGCGGACTGCTCAGCTGAGCTCGAGGTGCTGCCGCCTCTCAGAGGCGACCATTGATCCCTTTTTGCAGATTGCAAGTCGATGACGTGTTCTTCCAGGTTCTTGAGATCAGTTACCATATGCTTGTTCTGTAAAGTAAGCAAGCGGTTGCTCTCTCGCGCAGCCTGAAGGGCCTTCTTCAGGTTCCAGATCTCTTCCAACAGAGACTCTTTGTCCCGGTGAGCAGCCATGGCGTGCGAAGCAAGATCAGATTCCAAGCTTTCGGCAGCGTCCAAAGTGTCACCAGAAGATGGACATTTTCGGAGCAGCCATTTCGACTTTGGCAGCAAGCCTATTGCATAAGCTTCGTTGCATAATGACAGGGGATCTCTCGCACTAAATCTGGCATCTGAAACCCAAGGAACCCCTCGCAGCGGCTTTCTTGACGTTGGCTCGTTGATATCATACCTTGTTGACACTGTCCAATGCAGCGCTTTCTCCCAATGCAGCGCTTTCTCCCAATGCAGCGCTTTCTGCACATGCAATGCATCACATGGCCCCCACATGGTCACCTAAAGACACGGCATCATTTGCTGGGCTCGTATAAGCTCGTAATCCTCGTAAGCCCGACCAACTGTGCAGTGTGGGTCCAATCGACCCTCATTCGACAAGCACATCGAACGGACATCGTGTCCTCAAGAGTTTTAACTTGCAGATGCGACGGCTGGATGCCATTGAGCCGGTGCTAGCTCATATCTACCGACGGTTGGTCCGTTGCTAATGTTAGCCATTCGATTCATAGGTACCGTTACTGGAAGAATTTCTTTGCCGAAATGACGTGAGCTTGGGGTTGAGGTTGAGAACGACAATTTCGACGACGAACTTTCGAAGGATTTCAAGTTCATTCTTGCTGACCGTCGATGTGTTTACTTGAAGCAGCTCGTCGACCGTCCATCAGCTGCTAGCAAGCGTTTTCTAAGTCCAAAATTGGTCTAACTCGGCTTGTAACACGGGTTTTGTGAGAGTGAACGATACCATTCAAGTGACCGCACCGTGGTTTTCAGACCGGGTTACTAAAATTTTCTAACCCGTGTGTCAGCACAAGCAATGTCAATCACCGTTACCGTTTCACAACCAGCACTGCTTGTGCCATGTAACGGCCCTGGTAGTCGGCCGTTACGTCCTCTGGCGGAAGTTGCTATGTCTGCTCTGCTTCCGCAGACTTTTTTCCCCTCCTCTTATCAAAACAGAATAATTGCCGAAGAGGATGCACGCAAGCAAGAAGGTTTTGAGTTCATGGCGCTGACAAGAAGGGGAATCTAATTGGCGCTACCTACTCCACTTTCCTCGTGCTTGCGCATTAGGGTTGCTCAGCTTGGGGCATTATTCAATGGCTCTCTCCTTCGTGAACTCTTCTTCGTAGCGATTGAAGGAGGCCCTTGGCGGAGTTTTGCAGGCGCACCAACGCGCTGCCGATCATTTTGCAGCTGCTATGCGGTCCGGCAATGGCCGATAATTACCCGAAGAGCCCTAGCGATAGGCCGATCCTCGTTCCAGGCGTGCAATCATACGGCGCCTCACCTTACCAAAACTATCAGCCTCAGTATCAATTGAACGTACCAGGTCAGCTGTCTTTGTCTGGACTTGTGGACGGCAGTCAGGGCTACGGTGGACAGCAGGAACAGGGCCAACTTGCGTTTGGCGGTGGTGGACATTCTCATCCCCTGACGGACGAGGAGCGCCTGCAAGCAGAGGCAGAGAAGAAAAAGATTCAATCGAGGGAGAGGGTGCGCAGATTCAGGGACAGGAAGCGCAAAGAGAAGGAAGAGCTCAGGGCTGTGAGGGCGCAGAAGGCAGCGCAGCAGGGGGACTTGAACGTGAGGATTCGAAGGGAGCTGGTGAAGGAGGTGGTCGACAAGTTTGTCGAGGTGCGGGGGAATGAGCATCTTCTTTGGTTTACTTGTAAGGCTTGATTGCTTTCCTAGTGGTTCTGATGAAATAACCAGGTACTGTCAACGTATTTATCCAGTGTACTTCCTTCTGTTAGCGAAACCCTCATGTACTTCATAGAAGGGTCAGTTTCCATGTTGTCTAATGTTTTTGATTCGTAATGATGCATTATTGCCCTGTTGCTGTGTTTGAGGCAAGTGCCACTTCTTGCTTATCAAGCCTCTTGGCATTTCTCTGGAAGGCGTATCATTGAGCTTTACCTCTTCTGCATGTATATGATAGTAAAGCAAATGTTTGGTAGCGAGGCAAAAGTCTTTTGGCGAGAAGCATTGTCCTCAAATCCGGTCCGCTCTCAATATGCAGAGTGTCAACTTTCAAACAAATCTAGCATCCTTCTGACCATCCATCATCTGTCACGCCACTCCATGACGTCTTGTGGTGTACCCCAGAATGATGGGCATTTGTGCAACCGGTTGTTGCCTGCAGCATTACATGCCAAGGGCATGGTAGTACATCCAAGTAGTGTTGGTGGTTACCCTGTCTTGGTGGTATACGCTATGTTGGTACAAATCTGGGCATCGTCTTCTGCGCTGACGTTTGGATCCCTCCTGCAGGTGGTGGAGGGCCGGCCCCCCGCCGTGGCGCGAGAGATCCTGCAGAAGTTTCTGGCGCACCCCCAGGTGAAAGCAACTCTCAGGGACGGCGCCGTCCCCCCGGCCTTTCTCCCAGGCAGGGCCCCCGATCAATCTGTAGCCACTCCCAAAGGCAGGAAGAGGAAGCAGCCAGCACAGGAGGTTGCTCCCCCCCCTCATCAAGTGCAACAGTTACACCAGCAGCACTTGCATCAGCAGTTGCATCAGCCGCAGGGAGGGCATTCACACCAGCAGGGGGGGCATTCGCACCAGCACCTGCAGGGCGGCGCATACCCTGCTGCAGGGGATTCATTGCTCCTGTCGGCGGGGCTTGTGAACGGGACGAGTGGGCAGCCGGGGAGTGTTCACATGTAGACCGGCAGAGGTGTGTCTATCAGAATAGCTGATACTTCCTCAGAAGACTGCGCTTCTGTGGCAGAGAGAGGTCCACAGAACCTCTATTAGTGTAGAGAAGTCACCGCAGCTTTGTGTGCTGAAAAGCCTGTAGATCTCATAGCAACTGATACACAAAGACCAGCACGTGTAGGAACGCATCTGCTTGTGAAAGTTGAGTAGCAGCAGAAGGTTCGTAAGTGAGGAAGCAATGGCAGAGAGTCTAGAGGAGGAAAGGTCAGGGGTGGTAGTAGAAGAGCCTGGGGCCCAACAGGAAGCAGGCGGTGTGACTTCCTACGAGGATCCTTCCTTGCAGTATGACTTGTTGGATGAACTTGGTGAGCCTCTCCTTCATGTTGAAAACAAGTTGTTCCCCTCAGGGTGTGAGAAAATAGCTGTTGTTCTATCTATGAGAAAATAGCTGTTGTCCTATCTAGGAACACCGTAAGTGTGTTGAAAATGCATGATATCTGCTGAGTATTCGTAGATCTGCAATTTCCAATGATAGCCAAATAACAAGTGCCAGCTTGCGGAAAGTAAGCCGTTGTCGTCTTTGAAAAAGCCGAGAGTGTCGATCTGCAAAAGAAGGACATGCCCTTTGTCCGAGAAGGTTGTACTCATGCTAGCTTCAGCAGAACCTCAGCGCATGACTATCGTAAGAGATTTTCTGGATTTCAAGTCTTTCAAGAACAGCATGCTACCCGTCACCAAGCATACAAGTAGGTAGCTGAAGAATCCACTGCGCCTCTCAGGCTGTAATTTCGAACTTCTAGGGCAGGCGATGGGAACTGCTCGTCTTCTTTTCACAGGCAAAGGCTCATATGGAGCAGTGTACAAGGCCCGGAGCCTGAGGACCAACGAGTTGGTTGCAATCAAAGTGATATCTTTGTCTGAGGCGGTAAGCAAACTGCTATGCCTCGACTCTGCCTTGATCAATACGACAAAAGCGTCATTTCGGTTGATTTATGTCATCCTATTTCTTCCAAAGGGATTCCCATGACTCCTGCTACAATCTGCCATGAAACAAATTGATCCGAATTCATACCTGCTTAACCTGCTGAGATAGCCTTTGAGTCAGCATTTACCCACTGTCAACAGCTCTGCTTCTCTCTAAGCCTGGCTACTTTGACGGACGCACCTATTGCCAACAGCCAATTGCAACGTAGAGCTGAAGCTTGGAGAAAAGGTTGACTCCCTCCGCTTGCAAAGAGATCTGCTTGACCTGGCCTGATTGGCTGTGGCTGTCTGGCTGCCTCTGAATTCCCTAGAGTTGAACAATAAAATCCTTCGTATCTTGGATTCGAAACCAAAATGTTGGGTTCTTTGTTCCAAAGTTCCACAAGACATACAGTAGTCACTTACCTTTTCCATTGCTGATTGAATGGGGGTGTGATGTGGGGCAGAACCAGTAATCTTTCTCCATCTCAATCTGCAGGAAGAAGGGTATGAGGAGATCCGGGGGGAGATTGAGATGCTGCAGCAGTGCAATCATCCCAATGTGGTGCGCTACCTGGGCAGCCACCAAGGGGAGGATTACCTCTGGGCAAGAAGCCGGTTCTTCACTCCGTTTGCTGTTGCGAGGAGTGCTGGCATGTAACGACCATGCAGAGTGATATATTTTGAGATCTTTATGCGTTTAGGGGAAGCCCGCAAACAGTGGGAATAGAATCTGGACGAGTAGTTCACGTTTAGTTCGCGGCATCTTGCAAGTGAGAGTCCCTAAAGCTTTCGTCTTTCCTTGATGAGGAGATAGCGTCCACTAGGAGTAACGGTACACTGCTCTAGGTAGACTGCCTGCTTCTCTTGTCTTTCGTTGACCCAGTGATTGTGTGCAACCTTCTTCTCGTTGACCGTTAGAAGCGTTTTCTCTTCCTGACACTATTCGCTTTTCAACAGATTGTGATGGAGTACTGCGGCGGCGGAAGTGTCGCAGACCTCATGCACCTGTCAGACGAGCCGCTTGAGGAGGCGCAGATTGCCTACATCTGCCGAGAGTCCTTGAAGGTGGGGCGACGTTCCCTGTTTCGTATGCGTCCTGCTCGTCCCATTGCTGAAACCTGAAGGAAATTGGACCATAACTCTTCGTCCGCCGCAAGCTGTGTCCCAAGACCCCTGCTCCTCGTGATAGGTTGGCAAGAAACCGTCTCAGCAAGATTCGTACTCAGGAAGCGTTCTCGTATCCCTATTCGCATGCCACTTTGACTTTTCATGTACCTACCTCTACTTAGAACGGTCCTCTAGTAATGTCCTTACGCAGGATAAGCCATCTTTGATTCACGTGATCAGACCCTTGCCAAGGCGCTTAGCCAACCTTCCACGCGCCTTCCCTGGAGCTAAGGAAGCAATCATGGTTCTTTTCGACATTCAAATCTCAACCACTTGTCGTTCTGTGCACAAAATAATGGGATCCTAAACGATGCTCACCCCTACGCATCTCAATTCCGACAATTCCGACCAACTCCTACATTCTGTGCGCTTCTGACCGTTTATAACATCCCTGCCGCTGCAGGGGCTGGCGTACTTACACAGCATCTTCAAGGTGCACCGCGACATCAAGGGGGGGAACATTCTGCTGACGGACAAAGGGGAGGTGAAGCTGGGGGACTTTGGCGTGGCCGCGCAGCTCACGCGCACCATGTCCAAGCGCAACACGGTGAGCCCTTGCTTTTTCCAACGTGAGCTGTCTCCAGTGTTCGGGTAAGCCGCCCAGTCGGTCCTAAAACTTCTGGGGTTTGGAAAGCACTGCTTTAAAACAGCATCTCGCACGTTCGCCCTTACATCCTGTTTGAATACCAGCTGAGTACCAGCCGCTCATTCAGCTGGGTGCTAGCTGGTCGCACAAACCGATCTGTTTGGCATCCTTTGCACGTACTCTTGCTGATCAGGGCGTCTCCGCGTGAGACTTCTTTTAAGCGAGGTCTCACTCCGACCCCTTAGCCGGCTTCGAATGCTTATCCCACGCTTCGAGCCTCTTGCCAAAGTCGAGAGTTCTACCTTGGACGTCTTGCTCTAGCGTGCATGCTTCCACTTGTGTTTTCGCAGCAGTTATGTTCTTGCGCCCTGAAGTTCCTTGAGAAAAGGGAGGCTTTTCTAGATTTTGCGTCTGAAACTGAGCGCTTTTCTGATTCTCGTCCCGTCTGCCTGTTGCAGTTCATTGGAACTCCCCACTGGATGGCTCCTGAGGTGATCCAAGAAAGCCGATACGACGGCAAGGTGAGGGCTCGTCCGTGCGAATGTGTGCTTCTCGCGAAGGATTAGTAAAGGCTTAGCGAGCATGTCGACGAGTGCCTCTTCCGTGCTCGACCTCGAATCCGGTGCACGGGAAAACAGACTTGTGTATAATATAGAACTTGGGACCTCTGCCTTGCGCTTTGCGTAGCGTGTAGTTGATTGCGCTTGCAGTGTCGGAGACACTGTATCATCGCTCAACTACCACTGCTCTTCGTTCGGCGCTTCCAAAAAAGCTCTGCGCACACTATCTGAAGACATGCTACCATAGGAGCTAACGGGAGTGGACCTTTGTTGCTAGACCGAGCCAACAGACGCACTATTCTGAAGCCGTCAATTTGCAAAGTAACAATATGCATATCGAAGAGCTCCGGGACTGTTTGCAGGTTGACGTGTGGGCGTTGGGTATATCGGCGATCGAGATGGCAGAGGTAAACCTTGGATGCCTACTTTCTCAAGGCTTTCGGGGTTCAAACACAATAACGAATTGCAAATTTTGAAACGCCGTTCTGTTGTACGCGAAGTCAGCTCCGCCCTGCTAGTTACTTTCCCCTTTTGCCGCACCATGAGCAGCTTCATTAGTTTTGCCACGGCTCGCACTCAAGCAGACAGTCAGAGACGCGCAAAACGGCTGATAAGAAGACATCAGTGCGCGCTGTGGTCCGTATCATGACCAGGGTCTTTGTTGAAAAGCATTTCGTAGTTGGTTTGCAGTTCCCACCCTTTCGCGACTTGTGCTTGACGACATGGCCCGTTTCAATCCCGCTTTACTTCCGCTGCAGGGCCTCCCACCGAGGTCCAACATTCATCCAATGAGGGTAAGCTTCACACGGCCTTGATCTGTTGCCCTCTAAGTGGGTACAATACTGTCTGATAGTGAAACCCGCACCGATTGCTTTTGCTCAACTGTGTTTGGGTGTGTGCCTCTCTTGAAACAATTGTGCAGCTACTTATGTGCGATACGTGAGGTTCAATCTCTCCTGGTAGTTCCTGAAACCTGGATGCCACTGCCTCGAATGTAGTCACACTGTGCGTTTAAACATGTTGCCAAGAGCCCGGACCCATTCAGACCGTCTTAAAGTGCGTACAAGCGTCCGCTTTATCCAGACAAAACGCACAGCCGTTCGCAAAAGCTTGCGCCGCATTCTAGACGAACCGAGCAGATGTTCACGAACGTCCAACCGTTCGATCAACTGTTCACGAGCGTCCGATTCCGTCCGCAGGTGATCTTCATGATCTCTCGCGAGCCCGCCCCGATGCTGGAGGACAAGGAGAAGTGGTCGCTGCTCTTCCACGACTGGGTGGCCAAGTGCCTCGCAAAGGACCCCCGCGTGCGCCCCACTGCGCAGGCGCTTCTGCAGGTAAGATGTCTCAGTCGCAGCTACGCTTTATATTTGTCTGGATCAAGTATCGGCGGTTTCCGCCGAGTTTGTGAAGATAGTGTCCAGTACAAGGAGGGTCAGTCCGCTCGCGACGGTTTGATGGGTCTTCAAGTATCGTTCTGACGACTTCTGAGCACCAGGGAAAAGCCTTTTTGGCAGAACGTTCGGCGGTGCTTTCTGCTTTAGTATCTTTTGCGAAGCGACCTGGCTTCCTACCCGTGAGTCATCGTGTGTTTTTTGGGTCGACGCGGAATGAATTGCTCGTTCGAGTTCCGTAGACCGTGCCTCTACAAGTGTTCGTCTTCTGATTAGCGGCCCAAGGGAGTTTGTAGCTAGTCCTCATAAACGACTCACTTAGCGCTCTTTTTCCCTGTGCCAGCACAAGTTCATCGAGAAGAGCAAGGCAGGCGCGTCGGTGTTGCTCCCCTTGATCGAGCGCTGCAAGATCCTCAAAGCGCAGCTGCTAGAACAGCAGCGGAAGGAGGAGGAAGCGGGGGCCTCCACCTCCGTCGTGAGTCGATCCGCAGCAGACCTTCCATTTTTTTCGTAAAAGGAAGCCTGTCTGCTTCATGTTCGCTATGAAACATAAAGAGAAGACAAGGACGGATCAGGATGCTGACGGTCGAACAATTTCTAGCGACAAGGAACAAGTCGAAAGTCCTTTGCACGAAAGTCCGCCTCTCTATCTTGAGTAGTTCGTAACAGAAAAGCTGATTCGTCCAACGCTCATCTGTTCGCGGCTACTCGAACTGTCGGCTTCAAGGGAACGCACTTCTTTGCTTTGCCTCTCGTGCGCTAGCCTGCTGACGTACTTTGCGAATCACATCTTCTGGGCTGCAAGCGCCTTGACGCTTTTGCTGACGTCATCCAGGGCGAGTGGTCCTGGGGCAGGGGCAGCACGGTGCGAGTTGGGGGGGGCACGGTCGTCGTGCGCTCGGACCAGGAGACGCTGCCAGCTGGCGGGGGCGCTGCGCTTGCGTCAGCAATGGCTGCGGGAAAGGCAGGCTCAGGTAAGAAGAAGGGTGCGGATTCACACCAAGATTTTGATGGCTGTGCGAAGGCAGTCTGGACCGCCTGCGACGCTAGGTCAGAAAGCTGAGAGCGCAGTTCTTCACGGATCGGACGGCTGGCAACTTCGAGATGGAGAGGGAGACGCAAATCTATCGCCTTTCTTCCTGAGTTTATTGTCCTGGGTGGCTGACTTTGTTCCGCGTTTGAGGCCAGGAGGGGCGAAGAACCTCCACATTTTTCATCCCCATTTCATCCCTACCTTTGGCATCTGGGTAGATCGGCGCACTCAAGACGGTGATTGCCTCGGACTGAGTTAGGAACATTAAGCGGCAGCAATAATAAGGTTGCCAGCCTTGGAAGGGTGGAGTTAGTTTGAGGTTAGGGTGTGTACGGGTGCTGAGCAGGTAGATTATTGGGCTGGGGTTCTGGTTCTAGTGAATTCATCTCCTGACTTCTTAAAATTCTCAATCAGACCGTCATGCGAACGCTTTTCCCCGCTCACTTCAACCTTCGTATTCGCGGGTCCTCGGCCTTGCTGACTAAGCATAGAGCCTTCTGACGAAGTCGCGCAAACAAAGTGACAGCTCTTGTCCATGGGTTCTTTCCAGGCGAGTTTGGCACGTTCGTGGTCAAGGACGGGGATGGCACTGGGACCGTCAAATCGAAGGTGCGGTTGCAAGCAGACGGAGCACCCAGCGATGACAGGTGGGTTGCGAGTAGAACCGGCGGTTTCAGCCCTGCTGCTCCCAACTTGCTTGCTTTCGAAGGAAGTTCTTTGATGTCAGCTCTTCTTTGGCGTCAGCCCCGTCTCAGGCTCGGAGTCCATCTGACTCGGGCTCTGATACTTCCCTTGGGCTCGACTGGTATCAGACGTTCGCTTTGAGGTTTGCGACACCACTCCAATCCCCCTCGCGCTTCTAAGATTCTAACCGTTGCGTCAGACAGAGTGGCGTTCACTGTATGCATCAAAGAAACCGTTAAACTTGGCTCCGACTCCGCTTCGTTTACGCAAACACTCGTTGAAGAATCTGCGGATCACCTCCACTGACTGGTGCACGCTAACAGCTCGCCTCCCCGCTTCAGTCCAGAGTTTGAGGTGCTCTTCCTTCCCTCTTGCGACCAGCTCCCCTGGTCAATGCCTCACAAGGGCGACCAAGTCCTCTTCGATCGCACAAACAGTCGTTAAAGATATACCGGTTGGCTAACACATCCCCTCAACTTTCGTTGCAGAGTTTCGGGGGCCCTTCCTTCCCCCCTGCGGCCATCCCAGCTCCCCTCATTCAATGCCTCGGGGCGACCCCTTCCGGGCTTCTCCCTCCGGACAACGTCGCCCGGGGTAACTTCCCCCGGGTACTTCTCCCCCAGCTGGCGGGGGAAGATCAGCCCGGCAGAGACCTTCACCGGGGGCACGTCTCCCGAGAGCAACGCGGGGCGGCAGCCGGCCCTTCCCGACAAGGTAAGGGATCGGATTTTGCCGCTTCATTCACTTCGTCTTCATTTGATCGGGTTTTGCCGCTTCATTCACTTCGTCTTCATTTGATCCTCTGAGTGGTTCTGTAAGCCGGAGGTCTGAATGATTTTTGCAATCTGTGCATCCATGCAGAGGAATCAAGAACGTCTAAGGCAACAATAGATAGTTTCGACTTCCGAAAATAAGATTGTTCTCGCAGGTTATTTGCTTCTCGTTGTTCGACCCATTTCCTGCCGGCTACCTTTGCACCATTTCCGGGCCTCGTCTTCTTTGTGGCCCTTCTTTGATTGTCTTTCACTCACTCACTCACTCACTTGCCTCCATCTGTTTCACAGCTGTTGTCAATCTATGCCGCCGGTAACACCGTCCCCATTCCCTTCCTCCGCGCCACCGACGTGGCTCCCCTCGCCCTCTTGGAACGGCCCGCCGACCCGCTGACGTCATCCCAGACGTCAGACGCCGCATTGCTCGAGGTCCTCCAGGAGCTGTACAGCGGTTCAGCCACCGGGGAGGGGGGGTTGCGGAAGCAGCGGAAGAAGGGGGGGGAAGAGTTGGCGCTCCCAGCGGGGGTGTACAAATTGCTGGCGTCGAGCGGGACTCTCCCTAATCTAGTTCGGGCGCTCGCGTATCATAAGCAGAGATTGGAGGAGACCCCTCTGCAGCCTTGGCAAGCGGCTGACCAGCAGCGAGTGGTGGACAATCTGAGCGATACCCTGCGGACAATCCTACGGCTCTGATTCGACGAGATGTTCTTAGATAGACAGGTCCTGGCCTCTTAGAGAAGGTCTTTCTGAGAGCTCGTTTGTGAGTGAGAGGTTCACATATAGGCGAGTGTGTTTTCGCGGGAAATATGAATCGGCTTCGTGGGCTGAGCCACGGGGTTTTAGCAGGCAAGTTGCGTCGGTGTTCGCGAGTCAGGACGTTGAAGCTTGGTTCAAATAGTCGGTCATTGCCATGCAGCAGATTTACTCAGCCATTAGTTATAACGCTCCGCTTTAGGTAAAGAAACATCCTAATCTGTACAACCTGTGCCAGTGTCACCCGATTGTTGGCCGACTTGGATCGACCAAGCAATATAAGTCCACCGTTACAGCGTCAAAGGCTTTTTCTCTAACGTCTTTCAGATTCTCTCGCGCCTTAGCACAGTCTTATGACCAGTGTGCAGGAACTAGCTTTCAACGGTTGAATGATGCTGTCTGATGATGCGACGTTTCGTGCGCACGGTCGCATTAGCTCGCGGCCAGACTTGAGCTGCAGCAACATGTGGACCGAGCTTTAAGTTTCAGCTATAGCTCGATCAACGAATACTCCTCAAGTTTCTGACATCACACATGTCGGGAAAGCAGAGCTACAGCCGATCGATCCGATCATGCACATGCCGTTCCCGAAGCAGTCACTGCGCCTGAGTCAAATTATTGCGTGCGCGGTGGCTGCATGCATGCAGGATCATGCTCGGCCACCTGATTTGGACGATTATGCCCATGCACAAATTCCGGCACGCGAACTGTATCGCAGCGTGAAACCTATTTACGGTCGTGAGACTTATCTTGGTCGAGATGATCGCAAATCTGCCCTTTTCAAATTCTATCTTCGCTCAGGCAACTTTGGTCTCAATGCAAGGATTCACCACGGTCCGCCGACCGCAGCCGTTCTCGCACGCAAGTCCTGCAGATTATGCCCCGGTCACTCTTTGGAAGACGAAGCTCACTTTCTGCTCCATTGTTCTGCTTTTAAAAAGTCCCGTGCCATTATGTGGCAGAACATTCAAGGGAACTTGTTGCACTCCGGTTCTGCCAACGTTTGGCATCTTATTAATGATTCTCCACCTTCGATGCAATTGTTGTATCTGCTCGGCCGATCTGAAGTTGACTGGCATGACTACTGTGCACCTATCCTCGACTCGGCAGTCCGCCGATACATTCTACATGCTGCCCACGACCGTAAGTCGCTTCTTGCACTTCTATGAACCATGAGTCATCGTTTCTAACATGTCCCCCATGATTTTGCATTACAGGCAAGCAATAGCCCAAGCCCAAGCCCAAGCCCTAGCAAGCCTTCGGCCAAACTCCATACCACGGAGCAGAGCCTCTATTAGCAATCATCCAGAAGGACTGACTTTTATTCGGTATCAAGCCTTGTCATCTAAGTTTCTTGCCCACTGCAGCGCATCCTATTCTCGAACTGCCTCCCTCGATCGTCCTTTATTGCATGGTGCTAAAACGGGACAGCATTCTTCTGTTCATTGTTGCATTGTTCAGCACCAGTGGCAGAGGAGTGGCAGCTGTCAGCAGATGACTTTCTATCCGTTGTACCTGGTGCTGGATTCCGAGGTATGTGATAAGGTGCCCCGCCGGTTCCTTTTTCCCCTCATTGAAAAGATCCCCTAAGCTATGAAGTACGGGGCAGGCATTTTTTAATGGCCCGGCGTGTTACCTAGATCAAGTCTCAGCCCGGTTCTGCAAGCCTCTTCTGACGACTCGCCTATGCCAGCTTCTTCCTATCCGCTCGGCCACCACGATCTCTAGACTACTGTCCACGTACGCCCAGGTCGATCTCGAATAAGTAGATGCCAAAGTCTAGTCAGAGGTAGTTGGTACAGCGTATTTGAGAACAGCTGGTAGAAGCGTAGTCGAAGTAGCTAAACATGAGATAGCACTGAGGCACAAGGGACTAACACTCATACATGTGTATGCCATGAGAAGCCTATGGCCTATTGGCTACGGCGAGTATGAAAAGTGACCATCATGCAACGAGTTGTAACAAATGATGTGCATGCATCTGAGCAGCAGATCAATTAAGACTTAGTCAGCCGTACGTCGCGATCACACTTTCTGAAGTTCGCCAGCTATTATAGTTTGCGGTAACATGCACGTGCAAGGTTATCAAGCTGATCGGACCATAGCGGCCCAGGCGGACCGTCCCCACAGCGACTCAGGAAGCTCTCCGTGCACGAAAGTGCGCGTGGCGGCTGCGTCTCCAGATGTGCTAGATTTCGAGACTAGCTGGCCCGGACACAGTTGTAGGTTTTGACGAACTCAAAGGCTTGCCACGTAACGTGCTCCTCGTGTTTGGACCTTAGTGACAAATCTTATAATCAGCTCTACAAAAAGGTTCGAGCTTTCGCCAAGCGTGTAGCTTGCATGATGCGGGCTGCCAGGGCGCGGTGAATAAACGGTGCGTCTGAATGTTATCAGGGATGGGACTAGATAGAATGTTCAACAAGCTTGTGACAGATCAAATCTTGCAGAACTTCTAAAATAGCGGCCTCGGAACTGTGGAAGCACGCCTTCTGAAGGAAGTAGAGGTTAACCTAAAAGAGAAGAACTCAAAGCAAAGCCAAACCGTTTCCTAACCTCAGCCTTAGGACTAGACCGTAGAGTCCTCAGCTTCTGGCTCCTTACCCCTGTTATCAGTAGCAGGAACAACCTTGGCTTTGCAACCCGTCACGAGCAAGTATCTGAAGAGGCGAACGATTCCAGTACAGACGGCGAAACCGACGAGCACAACTGTCGTATAAGCGCTGACTTGGATAAGCGTACGAAACACGGGGCCCGGACAGGCGTCCGCATCTCTGTGCTCCTAAGGCAGGCGGTCGCCATACGGCTCCCCCAGGTGCGCACAATCTCCGGGGAAGCCTATGTAGAAGTTTAGACGGTCGGTGGAGCACAGTTTGAGGGTCAGGTTGGCCCCCTCTGGCTGTGAGGACAGGTATTGGTTGAGGCCCTGAGAGGGATCGGGGATATGAACCGGGCCAAGCTGCTCAACGGTGTTGACGTAATTGAAGCAGTATGCTACCTGGAAGGACGCTCCAAAAGCCAAGGGAGTCGCAATGAGGCAGAAGAAGCCGAAAAGGCTCGAATAGATGATTACAATCCCGGGGTCCTTGCTATGGGGGGCTTTCCTCTCTGTTGAGCGGGTCGCTGAGTCTGCCCCGGTTGTGTCTTCCTCAAGAGGCTTGTGGGAGATCCTCAATATTCTCAGTTTGCGAAGATGCATCCAGGGTATCGCGCTTGAACGCTTCGTCCCCGCAGAGAGCAGCGGCGACGAATACGAAGCCGATTGTGATGAGCATCCCCACAGTGAGTAGCCCCACCGAGATTGCCAGCCCCCCCGCGACAACCACACAAACAAAGACACCCAATATCTTCAGCCATTGCTCAGATGTCCTTGCCTGATGATGCTCAGAGTACACCAAGGTGGGGGGGTATTCGCAACCCCTATTGGGAGATTGAACCTGGTACAGATCATACGCTGGCCCGCTTGAGAGAGACCGGCACTTAACCATCTGGAGGGCACGGGTTTGTCCTCCGAGCAGAGGGTTTGTCCAGTTTGAGAAGTTGCTGAAGATAACTTTGTTCACCAAGTCTGGCTCAGGGAGTGACAGCTCTCTGACCGGTAGGTCGCTGGAAGCGCCGGCTTGAACAGCGCAGCTCCATAAGGGAAGGAGCAGCAATAGGCAGAGGGAAAAGGCCCCAGGACTGGAAGCAGCTCGAGCCTCGTGATGCGCCGCCATTGCTGGGCTTCTATGTTGGGGATCAATACCGAATACGTCTGGCTCTCTGCAGTACCGACTGAGTGACTCAGAATTTGCGCGGCGCGCTACGGCGAACAGTCGGCCTGAGGGGCGCGGCCGGCCTCAAACGAGGGTTTACCAACTCAGTGGTTCCGTCCGACTGGCGGATCCGGGCGGGCGCGGCGACTGCGACGCGGCATCGCCGCGCGCGCCGAAACGCATGCGCAGGAGACTTCCTTCTCACACAACTCATTTGTAGTAGTAAGTCGAAAATGGCTTCTCAAAGCCAAGCCGCCTGTATCAACGACCTGTTGCCAGAAGATATTCTGTTCCGAGTAGCGGGCATGCTGGACGAGGGGTTTGATAACAAGGCTTCGTTGAGAAGCTTCCGTCAGGTTTGCAGGCACTGGCGCTCGATCGGGAGCGAGGCGACAAGGTGCTTGCGGATTGACTGCCCCAAGTATGAACGAAACATGGAGGAGGTTTTGTTCAGATTCTTGAGCGTCTTTCCTCGCGTCGAATCTCTTCTGTTTGAGCAAAGTTATACATTAAAGAGTCAAATGCCAGTGTCTCATGCAGCCACTTTCAGGAGAGTCACACATCATTTGGACCTAAGCGGGACCCTGATTAAGCATTTGCATTTCGATTCCAATGGAACGCCTCAGCGCCAGCTGCAGACGCTGCAATTGTTGCCAAGCAATGTGAAAGGTTGGAACCAGCTCGAGGGCCTGGTGGTAGAGCATGGCGAGTTTGAATTCGACTTTGACCAGGTTTCCGAGGAAGTCAGACGGTGGACAAATCTGCAGAACTTGGAGCTGTTCCATTGCGAAGCACTGCCTTCCGAAAGCAGGTCTTGGACAAGTCTACGGTCTCTGAACTTAGAAAAGCTGACCGCTGCGGAGTTTCCAGCTGAGGCGGTTGGGAAATGGAAAAGCCTTCAAGAGTTGGTGCTAGATTCTTGCCCCAATCTGAAGGGTCTCCCTGGAGGTGTCTCGTCTTGGAAGCAGATCAAGCGAGTTAAGATCCGCAACGCACCCATATTTAGGCCGCTTCCGAAGGAGGTGCGTGCCTGGTCTAATCTGCAAAAGCTCCATCTGTGGTCGTGTCCCGGAGTAACAGAGTTGCCACCTGCTGTAGGATCTTGGCACCGGTTGACGATGATCTCATTACATGGCGTCAGCTTGCGTGAGCTCCCTGCAGCTGTCGGGGAATGGAGGTCCTTGCTATCTGCAGAAATCAGCAAGTGCGAGCAACTTGTCAGGCTGCCTTTGGAGGTGGCGGGATGGAGGAGCTTGCGCAGGTTTACCTTGGATTGCTGCGACAAGATCCGCGATCTTCCAGAAAGTGTCGCTGGATGGACAGATCTGGAGAATTTAAGTGTCTACTCTTGTGCTGCTCTCGAGTCCCTTCCCGAGGGGGTTGGTAGCTGGTCTCATCTGAGAGCGGCAAGCACCACAAGGTGCGACAAGCTCAGAGCCCTGCCAGGAGGAGCGCAAGGGTGGTTCGCCCTGGAGGTCCTGACTTTGTCGCAATGCTCATCTATGCGCACACTGCGAGCTGAAACACCAGACAGAGAAGAGCCTGCTTGTGTCAGCGCTTCGCTGCTCCAGACGCTGCGGTTCCAATCATGGGAATCCTTAACTCGCCTCTCCCTCTTCCAGATTGGAATAGACCACCTTCCTGACTCGGTCGAGCGTTGCGTTCGGCTCCAAGTGGTAAATATTAACCTATGCAGCAAGCTTCGAGACCTTTCGGCTGGAGTCAGGGGATGGAAGAGTTTGGAGCTGTTGGATGTAGTCAGCTGTGAGAGGTAAAATATCGCTGCCCAGCGAAGCAGGCCATTGGAAGCAGCTGCGAAAGATATTTTATAACAGGGGTCAGACGAACTTGGTTCTCCCGTCAGAGGTGGGGGCCTGGGCGAACCTCCAGTGTGCGTACTTCGGCGGCATGGCAGCGTTACCACAAAGCGCGGAAGGATGGACCAACCTCGAAAGGCTATCTATCAACGGCTTGGAGGTTGAGACGCTTCCAGAGAGCGCGGTTGGAGCCTGGAAAAAAATGAAAACCCTCTACTTGAACAGCTCCCAATTGCTGCAGTTGCCAGAAACCGTAGGCTCGTGGGGCTGCTTGCAGGACGTCAAGCTTTCGTGTCCGGGCCTGAAGTGCCTCCCAGAAAGTGTAGGCCAGTGGAGGGCATTAGAGTGGGCAACTCTGAGTGGTTGCAATCGGTTGAGGGCCTTGCCTCAGAGTGTAGGCTCATGGCACACTCTCCGTAACCTGATCTTGGGCACCTATGAAGGACGCGAGGCGTGCACTGCTTTGGAGGGTCTTCCCGAGTCGGTTAGGGAGTGGAAAAAGCTGAAAGTAATCAGCTTCAAGGACTGTACGGGGATAAGATGTTTGCCAAGTTGCGTAGGAGATTGGTGCAATATATCCATCGTTGATTTAGCCGGCTGTAGTGCTCTTCTAGAGCTGCCTGAGTCCATCGTAAATTGGCCGCTGCATAACTCCTTTTTCACCAAGCGCTTCAAAGCGGAATGTAGCCAGGCCTTAGTTGAGTCGATCAATCGAGCTCGAAACCGTCATGGCGACGGCATCTTGCAATGAACTCGTAGAAGCTCAGAGACTTGCAGATGACGTATAAACTGCAAGGCAGTAGCACATTCAAATAAGTTTGATCCCATAGTATATGATTGTAAACCTGGCCGCGATCAGCAGCTGCGGTATATCTTAACTCTCCAGTGCACCAACGATTGATCCCTATTCTCTCGATCGGTCTGGATGCAACTGCCAGACACGACACCATTTTGGTTGCCTTTGACACATTATTCCTGCACTTCATCAATTGCAACGTCTGATTTTGAGTGTTACTGTACCAGCGAGATACGTTGCACCTAAAAGCTTTCTTCGTTTAGCGCACGAAGTCATGTATCTTACTCTTGTTCAAGGTGCGCCGTGACGAGTAGGAAAGGCAGTAACTGGTACTTTTGAGGTAGTGACGGAACTTGACATGAGTTGGCATGGTTCTCATCATAGTTTTGCAGTAAACCTCAGTAAGAGGAAGGTTCGCAATCCATCGATTTAATCATTGCAATTAATACACGACCTTTCTTCCTGCTTCTAGAGTGCTAGCTAGCTCAGAAGGCCTTGCTCTGATCTAGTAAGTTGCGGTACACGTTTAGGACAAAGCCTAGTCCCGATCCCAAATTGGGGACTTGTATCGTCTCCGCGAGACGAAGCAGCAGCAAAGGGTCTCTTGAAGGAAGATCTGCAAAGGCCGGGCGGACGAGTTTTGAGGAGAGGCACCCGCGTCGTCCACAATCAACGCAATTATGCGTATCAGGAGAAGTCCACAAAGAAGGCAGTCGGCCGCTGCTGAGATATCAAAGAGTGAAGACGAGGATAGGAAGATGCTAAATCTGGAACGCAAACTCGTACTGCTCAAGGTGTGGCTCCAATGTTGCCTTACCCCAAACAGATTGAGGCTATTCTCGTGTTGCTCCTTCTCCAACATCTCGATCCGGTCACGGAGGTCCTGGTTCTGCGCGGAGGAAGAAAAGGAGGTTTGCGCCGGGTGAGTCGCATGTTGCTGTCGCGGAAAAACCAGATCCACTTAAGAGACATCGTAGCTCACTCCCCAGACCACCTACAAAACGCTATTCTACCAAAGGACGAAGCTTTTTCAAGCTTTTTCCTCTGTAAACCAGCTTGAGAAAGTTTCCGGCCCGCGCGTTCCAGCTCAACAATCAAAGTCACAACATTCCCTTGAATGAAGACTCACTTGCTTGATGTTTAAGTTGTACGTTCCTGAAAACGTGTTGTTCCATATCGTCCAATGCAAGAAACTCGAGACGGCAGAGATCGAGCCCTGGGAACAAGCAGCAACTATCTGCTGCCGACGATATGGGAACCCACCGATTTGTTCTGTTGAGCGATAGCCTCTTGAAGCTGCTGCTTGCTGTCTCGCATGGACTTCTGGACGAGGCTGCACGCAAAGACGAGTCTGGTTCAGTGGATCCGAAAGCGCGAAATCGCGTTTGAGAACATTATCGAGTCAGCTTCTGGTTCAAAGCTTCAGTGGCGGAAGTACCCGCGGATAGGATCCTAAAGCAATAGGAAGCATGCGGGCTCTACCGACCCGTTTCGGAGACGCAGCGCAAGCTCCTCTTTGATGCGCGTACTGACCAGCGTCCGAGCCGACAACGGAGATGCTTCTCACTTGATAAGAATTGTATGTACGGCCTTTCGAAAGTAGGAAAGTCCTCATAGAGAGAAGGGAATCTGAGGTAAGACAGCCTTGGATGCAAGAATCCCTGGACTCAGAAACAGATACAAGAAGGCGAAATCGAACCCCAGCTCAATGGTTCTGATCGACAGCCCATAGAATGATTGAAAGGAGGCGCAAAGGACCTTACGAGTAGGAAGTCTTTTCGTGGTCCATCTTCTTCTGCATGTCTGGGATAACCTGTGAGGGCAACGAAAAAAGCGGTTCCATTTCTATGTGCATCTCGGATGATGATCAAGTTCGTGCCGCTGCTCGAAAGCGGCACATAAATAGCGGGCTTGATTCTTAGCCTTTTTCTCAAAAGGACCTCGACCTAGGGCCTCTTCGATTCTCTTTTGCAACCAGTGCTGATCTCGAGATCCTAACATGTTCTTTGAAGACGCCGACAGTCCGTGAGATCGCAGGGTCTTCGTAAGGCTTCGAACGATCCGGCCAGATCAGGATACTGCTTGTAAGCTGGAGAACGGGTACCTGTGACAACGAAGAACGAGCTGCTTCCAAACCACTTTATACTAAGAGCGCGAGGACCCAACCTTTTGCAGCATGGACTTCTGGGTGTCAATCTGTTCTTGCATCAGCATGACGTGATCCTGCATCCGCGTCAGCTCCTCCGTCAAGCACTCGGCCATGCCCTCCAAGATTCTCTGCGAGAGGAGTTTCCCATAAGAAGCTGAGCGGCTTATCATACGAATTCCGTGAATTTGTGTCCTTCACTTTGATTGAAGGCCTCATGGCAAGCTTTTAATCTCTCTTGCTTCTTTCCAACGACTAGTAAGTCTCGTTTTGCTTGCAAATCCTTTAGGCTCCGGAGCGTCACCCTGTTCTCGTCACAATACTTCCACAAAGGAGGCACATTTGAAAGATGCGCACCCCACTCCTCGATTGTCTTTCTCGCTCTAGAGACGGAGAGCGCATTGCTTCTGCCTCAACTACTGCACTCTCACGGAGAATTAGAGAAGCGTTTGGAAACTCTAAATCTCAGAGGAAACGTGGCTTGCCTCGTATCTCTGCTCCAGCTCCAGCAGCCCTGTCTTGAGTCCATTCTGCACGCTGGCCTTGAATTCGTTGAGCTGCAGGCGAGCGCTCGTCCCTTCTGCCAGGGTCCCGTTCAACTCTTGGTCCTGCAGCTTCTTTTCGAGAATAAGTACCTGCAACCGGTACCGAAAGAAGTCTGGTTGGTACCAGGAATCCCTTTGCACTCTAGTGCTGATTGTTTGGCGGGAATTCTGTGTGTCCCGACATCGGACATGGCTGCGAATCAGATTTACCGTCTGTAAAGTTGAATTCGTGCTCAAGATACAGACTGCAAACAGGAGGACTCATGTCCTGGTTGAACCAACAAAACTGGAGAGGAAAGATGAACAGCCCCAAAAGTCTTTCGCTAGAGTTGCTGGCTGAACTATTGTGGCACATCTGGCAGTAGACAGCGTAAGAGAACTCAATTCTGTAGCAGGGTTACAAACGCAAAGATATAATTGAATGTCGATCAATGGGAAATCAACAGGAAGCAGGTAGATTCAAGACCTCCAGACCAACCCTGGGGCTTCGTGATTAGGGACATGTCATTAGGCAGAGGCAATCACCACCCCAACACAGACAACCAAGCTTGGTCCTACCTGCTTCTTCAGGTTTTCCACTATATCTCTATCTGCCGAGCCGTGATCCCCGGACTTGAGCTTATGGAGGACCTGACGGGGGGTGTTCTGCGCAGTAGAACTACTGTCACCTCTCTTTGTTGGTGTTGCTTTCAGCAACTCAGCAACTTTTTGAGAGTCGTACACAACTTCGACATCCCCATTCTGATCAGGCTCTTGCTGAGAAGGAGTCGCCTCACGGCCTGAGCGATATTCGGCCCTGCTCAGGCTGGGCACTGTTTTCAAAGAACGGAGAGAACTGAGCCGGGTGATGGGAGCATCAACGAAGTCCATGGCTGCAAAGGCGGCACCAGCACTAGCGTTTCACCGGGCCTTTCACAAAGCATCAGCAACAACAAAATTCTAATCGATCATGAACCACGCTAAGCATAGAATAACCAAGGAGTCTAAGCGGCTACTCGTACGTGTATCCACTTCTTGCGAGCCCCTCCGAAACCACTGAGGGGAACCGCTGCGACAAGCTGCAAGTCTTGCAGTGGTGTCGTCCCCCAAATTGTCCAAATAATGGTGGCCTGTGCGGCGTCCTGTTATTGCGTGCGGATCTAGTGCTCCCCACTGTAGTCGACGACCCTTCTTGTGGCACGGGCCAAGAGCAAGACGTCAGAACGTCTTCTACACCACGACAGAACCAAGTCAACGGTGTCAAATACTGCACCGACTTCCGCAAAATCTGAACTGGGAGTCTGCGCGGTTTCCCCGGTCGATCGCATGGCTCATTTTGCACCTACCGGCCGATACCGCCTGCATTTACGGGCTGGAGATACCCGGCCGGTACGAGTCACCGGCCGAGTAGATTCGGTCATCTCGATCCGTCCAAAACTTACATAGAACTGGACCGTCCGCGTACTTCTCTTTGGACGTCCGATCCAGTCACGCCCCGGGCGGCCCACGGGCGTCCAGCAGGGTTTCAAGTTTGCCACGGTCGGGGGCGGCGTCGCGGGATCGAATCGCGGCCGCGACGCCCCAACAGCAAGCAACACAAAGCCGCGCAACGCAAAGGCGGCAAGCGCAAACTTTGCTGGTCGATCTGGCAGTGGTCTGGGTGTGGCTCCAAAGCACACTCCGGGGAGGGCCGATCAAAGATGGTGCTTTATCTTCCAGGCCGCTGTTTTTTGACTAAGCAGCACTCATGTAGCCTGCAGCCTCGAAAATGGCGGAATCTATGGCTGTATCTTACAAGTGCTTCATGATGCAGAACTAGTCAACGTGCTTTCTTCGTAGAAGTGGTTTAGCATTGCGAGTGCTGCTTTTCTCCTTCAGCGCACATGATCATGGAGCTCGTAGAAATAGCTGGCGCTAATGAGCAAGGGACCCAAAGTTCATATGCACTGACTGCTCAGAATCTGGACGGGGACACTGGAATGAGCAAGGCTGCACCGAGTTTAGCTGCGAATGAGGCGCTCGAGCGAGAAACCGACTTTCAGGGAGCCCCCACTTCTTCAATCTCAACAACTGCAGTTGACGTTAGATCACAGAAGTCCGCAGAAGCACACTGGAAAGTAGGAGCAGAGATCCAGTCGGTGAGTCAAGCGGTTGTCTAAAGTTACAAGGTACTTCTGTACTGCGTATTTCGAGCATGCTTTAGCCGGCCACCGGACCAAACCGATGGGCTTCACGTCAGCTTAAACCAGCTTGGTAGAATACAACGTCCTGACCGAATGCTGTCATGATGCCTCTCTTGTCATGTCCGTCAAGCTTATTTGAAAGCAGATCCTCTTGCTAGTTTGGCTATGTTTGGTTTCCTGACAGAAAGCTAGATTCTGGACAATCAATTGTTGCTGACTCCTTGTTGGGTTTGTGAACAGGCTCGCGACACATTGCAGGTGCGTATTTTGTTGCTAATTGCAGAAAATATCAGCTAGTAGAAGGCCTGAAGTCTTTACGTATCTCTTCCTGCTTCCAATGAACTGCCCTATCCTTGTAACGTCCTGGTGCAGCCTCGCGAGCTGTTGATAGTATTCATCACAGATTCAGTCCTTCGGATTGCTCTGAGTAGGTCTGCGCCCCTTTGTGCGTTACAGAGGTGTTCCGACATGGCACAGATCATAACGAGGAAGAAAGCAGACCTACAGTCTATGGTGAGTGACATAGTGATATCATCGGCCAAGAGCAGATTTGCAGAACGAAGAACAGAGGCCTGTCCGTAAAAGGCCGTCTCTTTCTAATTATGCAGATCCAAATCAGTTTCTGCAGGTGACTTCGAGTGATGCAATTTCTGTCTTTTTTGACGTCTGATTCGCTTACCAAACAGCTTTGCCCGGCTCTGCTATCCAGATTGATACACTTGCGAAGTGCGCGATTTCAAGCAGTGGGGGACCAACTGGGAGAGACTTCATAAATGAAGATACAGATAGCCTAGACGAGCTTTCCGGCTTTGGATCACCGATCAGTGTGGATGGCCAAGACAGTCTTGACATGACAATCTGCTTACCCTCACACGCTCAAGAATCTACAACCCAAGACGGCGCAGAGGCAGATATGGAGTGTGGCTCTGAGGACGGTAAGCTGCGCCAAACGAAGATCTATTTTGACCTTTCCCGCTCGGATTGCCTGGCTAGCCATCAATCTGCCGAGTCAAGAACAAGCGACTAAAACTTCACAGTCGACTTGCGGGCCCTTAGTTAAGTTTCACGGAAGGGTTCGTCCAACAAAGAGCAATCTGAATCCAAAGCCTCTCAAGCATCGACAATAGAATCGTTCTCTTGCTTGCAGAAGTAGACGGCGAGACTGAGATGGAGCTGCTCATCAAGCTGCTCTTGGTAGACAGAGAAATCAAGGTAAAATTGAGGCTTTCATTCCATCAATTCTCTTCTTGGGCTGGTCATCTCTCGCCACATCTCACGTAGCACACCGTATGAAGAGATATTATGACAAGTAATACATGGCGGCCACGCATAGCTAAATTTCAAGTCACCCGGATTTTCATCTTCTGCAATCTCCCAGTCGCTTCCAGGTTGGTGTTTGAAACTTGAGTATTTCGTTGCGCAGGATCGTCAACTGCAAGAGCTGCAGTCTCCTATAAGCTCACGGAAGAGCTGCTTGCTGACGGAGAAGGGTATGCTTATCAATGTCGAGGAGTGATGACACGGCTTTAGGGGAACCTCTGTGCGTACTGTCGAACTTGCATGGGTCATCAAAAAAGCACTCGTTGGCCAGGATTGGCACTAGTTGCCTAGAACTTTCTACGATTTTGCATTCAGTCCTAGTAGCTTTCGGATCCCGTAGAACTCTGATGAAGACAATCTCGACTGGCGGCTGCGTGCGCTTACCGGCTAGAGTGTGTTAAAGCCGTTCTTTATCATGCTGAAAAGATGATGTCTAGATATAGCCTCGATTCGAAATGATTCTAGCTACGCGCGGTGACCTTGAGATTAAAACCGCGAAATAGCTGCATAGCTTCGTTCCTCCCGCAACATCATTCAGATACCAGATGCTGTCGAAGTCGACAAAGGAAGTCTTGGTGGTCAGCTGCACATGAAGAGTGGCTGCAGGGAGGGCTCCGCCGAGCAATTGGTAATTGCTTACCTGCAGAAGACAGACTGTGTCTCAGCAAGGCCTTCCTGGTACAGATCTCTTAGTCAAGCAGTCAGAGCAATGGCAATCAGCATCTGCGCATTTCCAGCTCTTACTATGATGTTCCAGAAAACTGCATGAATCGTGGCTCAGCGCTCATGTGTTTGCCTCCGCTTCAAAGCGGCTTCTGAAGAATTTCACTAGTCAAGAAGTGTCTGTCCGTGCACCGGATTCCAGGGGTCTACAATATACAATGGTAACACGCGCCATTTTTCAAGGCAGGTCTTTGCACTCACTTTAAAGAGGGTGGAAGGGTCCATTCCAGGGACGTAAGAAAAGATGGCGGGGTCACTGAAGAATGCATCAAGGCCGGGATTGAAGCGGCCGCGGGGCTTTCCGTCTTCTAGAAAAAAAAGGACGTTAGGGTCCAGAAATTGGTTGATCGTTTGCGCATCGACACTGAAAGCAGCCGCAGCGATCTGGATGGTGAGCAGATTATTCCCGATGTCGCGCAGGGAGCGAGCAACGGTCGGGGAGTCAACGGTAAACGTCTCGTCACCTGAGCGAAAAAGGAAAATTGTCATTAAAAAAGCATTAAAAAATATGAAATGCAGAAGAATCTGAGGTTCAACTTGTCTTCTACTCAGATCAGTGTTCACGAAGCCTCAAATACAATAAGCCAAGCCCAGGGTGGAGGACTTCTCACCCTTCTGGCAGGACAGGACACTCCCATCGGCGTTGAAAATTGGGTTATACCCCAGCTCAAAAGGACACAATGCTGGGTCAAGGCTGGCCGCAGCACAATTAACTCCGACAGCAAGTAGGAGGAAGAAAAGCGTGTCCATTTTGGATCGCTGGAGCCCGCTTCGCTTACGGGAGAGATGGAGCATACACTGGATCACCTAAGCGCCCTGCTTTCTGCATCGGGCGCGATGTAAGTATTTCCTCCGAACATGATTCGCCGAGTATGCAAGTATAGAAGGCCGCAACTTGCTGCAAGCGTGACTGCTAAAAGCGTCCTTTATGTTGCTGAGATCTCTCATTTCCGAGCAGCAATGGAGCCACTGCATGAATTCGACAATTCACGAAGAAAAGTAGCGGCGAAGCTCGCATCGTCCGCTGCCAGCCTTCAGCATTTGCCGTGCATCGAGCTCTCTGCAACCGCGGGCTTGACAGATTCTCGAAGGTCAAGCATGAAACGTCTCACAACAATGAACATATGCAAAGATCTGGCCTCGGATGCGTCGCTATGAAGCTTATATGCACGTTTGAAGGCGGCCAGAGTCAGCCCTTCTTGGTGATGCCGCCCCTTTGGATCCTGGTGGCCAGTCGTACGGCATCAAGCTCATAGGAGAGCAGATTTTCGCCTGCAGTATCTAAGTAAGTACTAGATCGCATCCTTTTCTGGAGTAGTCTTCAAGTAGCGGCCACGATCTTGAGGAACGTGTTCATTTGGAACCGATTCTGGCGGACTGCCCGCAAAAGCAAGTCATGGTCCTCTTAGCCATGCCGCCGTTTCACATCTAGATGACAGGAAACGACAGGCCCACTCAAGCGTAACTAGATACTTACCAGCTCGCGATAAAAGTTCCGCAACATCCTTAGATTTGCGGCTGTGAAGAATCCTGCGAACGTGTTGAGACAGGATCTACAAGAGAACTCTTTGAGAAATGAAAAGCCTCTTCACTCGTCACAAGTCGAGAGCGAGTGCAAGACTTATGGTCAATTCTCTGCTCCAGCTGCGGTCGGTGTGCGCTGAGGATATCTGATAAGCGATCGATTGCCATACACTTGAAACTTTGAGGGGAGGCGACTGAGTTCGCTGGGCACTTGTGACATTCTTGAATTCCGCGGGCAAACAGAGGTTCGATCGTGCTCACGACGAAGTCCGTCATAGGATTGAGCTTAAGCGGGACAAGGCCATCTGTAGTCATCTGATTATATGATTACAGAAGGCCTTGTCCCGATTCCAGGGTGCAGAGTTGTACTATGCAATGGAGATAACAATGTCGCAAAGGCAAAGCAACGCATTGTGGAATCATTACAATCCGGCTCCAAGATGCTTTCTGGACCTCTAGACTCTGGGCACTGCAAGCGAGCCTACTTGCTTAAGAGCTTATTACTATGACACGCCCGCAGAGAACAACCTTCTGACGTCATCGTTGCTGATGCATATTGGCTTCATTGCCTATACTATCTCCCTCTCGTGAGTAGTTTTGTCTATGAAACAAACGCCCCCCGGCGCCCCCGATCACCTTTGAGTTTCTAAATTGCAAGACGTGAAATTCGCGCCAGCATTCGTGAGCTTGTGACACGAGAGCAGGTTCATTGCCTCTTTAAGCTCGAGGCAAGGCGGATCATTGCTTTTGGGCCATCTACTTGAAAGAAGTGAAAGATGAGGCAATCGGCCTTTCTTCCTAAAACGTTACCGTTTCTTATTAATCTAACCTCTGAAACGTATAGGATGCCACTAGAGTGCTTTACGGCCAGAAAAAAAATTCCAGATTGATAGCCTCTGTAGTTGAGCTTCGTAAAGATTAAGCGGAACTCCGAGCTACCTCAACATATCCTAACGTGACAACTCGTGAGGTGTCCCGATACGAGTCAGACTCGTATGTTGCAACGGAAAGCTGCATGCTGTCCTGTTTGATGCTTGCAATAATCACCTCTGGACTTGTTAGCCACTTATTCAATTATGAATGTTACCTTGTGTGCTTTCGTTCATTGTTTTGAGGTTATTTTTCAGGTACCCCCCTGACTTGGTCTATCCTTTTATGTACAAGGGCACTGGAGACACGTTCAAGCCTCAATGTGAGGCCGGTCTTTCTACCACAATAAATAGCGCGTCAACAATCTAGGCCCCTTCATGAGGCTTGCCCATCGACACCCTCACGTACCAATTAAATTACTTTCTATCCTATCAACAGCCTCGCAAACAATCGGAACGGCGCCGTCACCATCCCCAGCACCCCGCCCGCGTTCTCCGCCTCATCCGCCGCCACCCCCTCCTCGCCCGGGGCGAATTTCCCTTCCCCACCGCCCCCCTCCGCGATCAACTCCGCCGACGACTCCGATCCCCGGGTGGGGGTGCAGCAGTGCGACCCAGACTGTAACGCCTCCGCGAAGAGCGCCGCCAGGTGCCGGGGCATCGACTTCCCCCCCTTTCCGGGGGCCGTCTCGTACCCCCCCTTCCCGACCGGCGTTTCGGACCCCCCCTTACGCGCGGACGCCGGCGTGTTAGCACCGCTGAGGACGTCCAATTGGTGCAGGTCGAGAACGGACTGGGGGCTGGAGACCTGGTGGAAGCCCGGGTAGTCGGGCTTGGCGGGGGAGCGCGACGCGGCCGCGCGTTGCGTGTACTTCTTGATCCACGTGTGCTGCAGCAATTGGCCGGCGGTCAGGCGCTTCGACGGCGTCTTGTGGGTTGCCTGCAAGAGCGTTCGACCGGAAGATTAAGGTCGGTTTGCGTGTGGCTTACTCTGGTCGAGCACGAGTTGCCAGACCGTTTGTGAAATTTTGGGGAGGGGCAATGAGTACAATTCTTGTCCGCTCAGAACAACGCAGCCAAGACGACAAAAGAGTCTTTGAACAGCATGGGGTAGAATTCTGTACGGAGAGCTCACTTTTGACCATATTTTGCGTTCAGGTTATAACTAACAAAGGACCTGAATCAGCTACTATAAAACTCGGTGTAGGGTCCCGAGCAACACCCCTGCTTTCCGAACCCGCAAAGGCAGATGCCGCTAAACAGAGCGTTCACCGCAATCTCGCTAACAAGTACGGTAAAGTGCTGGAGCGCTTGCCTGATTAATGAACCGGATGCTCTCAGGAGACAGGAACCGAGGCCATCCTTCCTTGCCAGGAAGCTCTTCGCTTATGATCTTCCGGCAGGTCTCGCGGCGGTCGGGGACTTCAAACGGGGGCTTCCCGCACAGCAGCTCGTATGCTAGGATGCCGCACGCCCTGCGGGGACACGAGATCGCTCGCGCTCAGAGACTATGACCGTTCAGCGCATTACAGGCAAAACCAGATTCCCAAAGATTGCAAATGGCTTTCAAATAGAGGTTGAAATAGAAGGCGAGATGACTTGGAACAGAAACTTCGATGGGAACCTGGGTTGGCTTTATTCGCTTGAACGTCCCCTCGATTCATTGAGGGTGGGTCAATTAGCGGCAGAAACAAAACAACAATCGAGGAACTGTCAAATATCCGCAGTGCTTCGAGTCGCCACAAGCGCCAATCAAAGAAAGGCCAGCTTTCAACGCCGAAACTTTCAACAGGCGGTTCTCACCAGACGTCGACTTTGCTGTCGTAGCCCCGCTCCGCCGCGCGCGGCGACCCGACGGGCGACGGCAGGTCGGGGTCTGAGCCGTCGTTGGTGCTGGGCATCTGGAGCACTTCCGGCGACATGTAGTCTAGTGTTCCCAGCCTGGATTTCGCCACGTCGCGCTCGGTGTTGATCGCGAAGCCGAAGTCGCCCAGCTTGAGCGTGCCGTCCTCCGACATGAACAGGTTCTCTGGCTTAATATCGCTGCGGAATCAGAGAGGTTCTTGTTAGTGAGTATGTTTCTCGGGCTTGATACCGCTGCGGAATGAGAGAGCTCGTCGTTAGTGGAGTATGGTTCTCGGGCTTGATATCGCCTCGAAAATAGGGAGCTTCTTGTTAGTGAGTAAGGTTCTTGATGTCGCTGCGGAAAGAGAGAGCTCGTCGTTAGTGACGATGGTTCCCAGCCTTGATTTCGCGGCACAGTGAAGAGGCGCTGATTGTCGCGTTTCGTTTTGCTGATCACCGTTCTCGACGATTAGATTCAACGGTCTACAACGTCTGGTCAGCCTCTCCAAACTGCATTTCTTCGGAACAGGTACCTTACGTTTGTGACAAGGAGACGGCGACTAACAGAGTGAGCTACGCCGTCCAAACTGCGGCTAGCTTTGCGGCAGAGCGGTCGAAAGTACCTTTGATTGTGATCTCAACAGAAACAACAGTGGACATTTGCTTGGATCAAGAAGACCGTAACGTCCAGTGTTTATAAGCAGATACTTGGGACTTTGAGGGGGGCACTTACCGGTGCATGTACGCCCGAGTGTGAAGGTAGTCGAGCGCCCGGAGAAGGGGCGCCAACACCTGCAAAAGATGCCGTCCCCCGTATGAATGCTCAGCCGGTGCATCGTGAATCCGTTCCGTTGGCACGTTCCGTTGGCGCGTTCCGTTCTTTCTGTCTGCTGTCGGTTTGAGAATATTCAGACGGCTTCGAGCCTACGACAGGGAAGCAAAGTTCGGCAACTACCAGACAGCACAAAACGTCGCCTGCCTGTGCACACAGTAGAAGCTGTCCCCGTCAAATCGAGGGCCAGGGGCACGCCACGTGGCAGCAGCTTACTCGCACGACAACCACTTCTTCGTCCATGTGGCCCTTGTGCTCCGCGAGCATTTTGAAGACGTCCCCCTGGGAGCAGTACTCAAGAATCAGGGTCACCCGCCGGGCGTCCTCGAAAACCATGTACAGCTTGTTCAGGTTTTCGTGCCTGAGAAGGTGGGGAGAAAAGACTGGTGAGGAACTAGAGAGCCGGGAAAGCGGACCAGGTGATTACGAAGATGTGCATCTTCTTTAGTTGCTTGAAAGAATGGAAGGAAGAAGACCGGGTAAGGAACAAGAGGACTGGCAAAGCGGACCCGGTACGGATGTAGGTTGTAGAGCTTTGTTCAGGTTTCGTGCCTGAGATGGTGGGAAGGAAGCGCTGGTGAGGAACTAGAGACGCGGACAAGCGGAACGGAATGGATATATACAATGACAACTTCTTCAGATTTTGAGCCTTGCGAACTAGGAAACGGGCAGCGTTGAAAGCAAACATGCTGAACCGTTGCAGTGCTACGTAAGAGACTAGAGAAGCGAGTAAACTAAGGACAGAAATAGACGGGATGAGGAGCAAGGAGTGCAACAGGCAAACAATTCAGCGTTTTAACAAACTGACGTGAAATACGAAATCGTTTCGAATCTGTCGAAAGCTCTGAAACAAACCTGCAGCTTCAACCGGCTACAAACAGATCACGCGCAGAGCACGCAAGCCCTTCCTCTCGCGGCGGATGGCCGTGATCAATCGAACCGCCCGCTGGTTCGCTTCAAACCGGACACGTGGCGCCCTGTGACTCGACCTCACCTGAGCTCGTACAAGCTCTCCACCTCCCGCCGCACCTGGTTCCGGTTGGCCGACGTCAGCGCCTCCTTTTTGTAGATCTTGATCGCTACCGGGAGGCCCGTCAGGCGGCACCGCGCGCTCAGCACCCACGACGTCCTGCAACCAGAAGAAATGGTTTTTGTTCAAGTTAAGAAAACGACCCTGCTCTGAGGACTCTGAGTTCAGCGCGTCTAAGTGATTCTACAGCGCGACCGGACGGCCCCAGATCAGCTCGATAGTATTTGACGTCCGCCTGTATGAGCGATTGGTTTTTTAAATTGACGGACGGGGCTTCATGAATTTCTTTGAGTTGATCAGAGCGGAGCGATAAGTGCGAGCGTTTTTAACCTAAGGACTGTCAGTCGTTCGGTGAAGAGTTCTCAAAACTACCTTGGGCACCTTCGCTTCTTCTTCTGCTTGCTAGGTTTGCATCAAGTTCAAAGATGGATCCTCATGAGAAACGCCGCCCATGCAAGAAAACTCCCACTAGATGAACGCCGTTGAAGGACTCTTTGTACGTCGAGTTTGATTGCACGGAGTTTGAAAACCGGGATCCAGTCTTTGCGTTCCTCAAACGGTTAACCACGTGCTCAAAGCCTTCTCTGAGCTCACATTGAATATGTCCGTGCCGATCGAGGCATAATTGTTCAACGGTTGAGACTTTCCTTGAGCAGCAGAATGTTTCTTGGAACCCGTCAGATCGTGAGACAGTCGAGCAGGAAGCATGCAGTAGGCCGCATTACGCAACAGATGTGACGGACAGAAGCAAGCCTAATTGGGAACGGGACCCGCCAAGAAGAAGCGACTCACTTCCCGGACCCGATAGGCTTCTGATCAATGAAGTCGTCTATGCTCCGCCAATGAGGTAGCTCCTGGTAAAACGGCACGTGCAACAGGCACTTAGGGCAGATTTGGCCGGAGGTGTCCCGTTGGACTCCCCTGGGGGACTTTATGCTGGCGGGGGGGCTATCCGAAGACACCGGGAGTTGAATGTGCGGCTTCCGTGTCCTGTAAAAGGTCAAGGGAGAGATTGAGAATCAAAGCAAGGCCCACTTTGATACCCCTTGATAGGTTACACTCGTCGTGCAGTGTATGATTTGAGCACTCAGCTCGCGTTTGGCCACTACCAAGCCTTTCGTGCATAGTCAGTGTGCCTTGTTGAATCATGATCAACTTGCTTTAGCCAATGCTTGCTCCGAAGCTTCCGCTTGTTGGATGCTTGTCTTCTGTCTCTTCCTCTAAGACTCGGTTCGCATGGCAGATTGGGCCGCAGAGATAGTTCATGAAAGTACTTGCATGCGCTTGATAGACAGTTCGTTACAAAATATGAGTACTTGAGAAACAGGTCAAGCTGTGCTGAAGGAACAGTAGGAGCGTAAGTTCAGGAGGATTCCATTACACAGCCACTAGTGACTTGCAGAAGTTGATTCGAGTTTTCAAGTGAAGCCTTGTTTTGAACAGGGATTCTGATGATGCTTGATCAGTTCAGCACAATTCAAGCTTCTTCCAAGCAGGACTACGCCTGCAGCTTTCGAGCAGAGTCTGCTCAAGCAGTTGCATCTGCTAAAAGCGGTATAGAGCGGATTCAGGCCAGAGTAGTAATATGGCATAATTCCTGATCGACCATGTAGTTTCTAAAAACCATGAGCAAGAAGGCTGTTGGCTCCCTTCCTCAAGAGCAGGCAACACAACCAGAATCACTCACATGCTCTTTGTCCGCAGCACCGGCAGCGCATTGAAGCTTGGGAGGCTGGTCAGTTCCTCTGCCTTCTGCATCCCCAGAGGGATTTTGGACTGGCTGCTCATGCCGCTAGCCTGCCCCAACCGCATCCTTTCAGAAGCTCCCCCTAGGGGCACCTCAGTGATCTCCTGACCTGCCATTCTGACTGGGTCAAACTCTACCATGACCGCTCTTTTAGTTGACTGTTGTGTGTCTACTGACACTGCAAGGATTGGTAAAATGATTTTCTTGTAAGATAACGCAGCCAAACCCTGCAATGGTGCGCTGCTGTCCCTGCTGATGGAAGGTCTGTTTCACTGTAATCTCAAGTCCGGGTCCTTAAGGGAAGCCAGTGCGTAGCAGACACGTATCAAGTGGTACACTCAGGCGGCAACACTGATCCAGCCTGATGAGCAAGGGCCTCCGTAGACCCCTGCGAGCCAACGTTAATCAGGCTCCCTGTCAACGTCCATCCTGGTTCCAGACTTTTCCTGGCCCCTCATGCGAGTCAGCAGAACGTCAGATCTTCTGAAGAAAGGAGCCGGCTGAATGCTGTCGTTTCGCCTTCTCCCTGCTGTAAACAAAGTCCTTGTGTGACCTTCAGAATAGCCTTCACATAAGGTCCTCCACAGAGACGTGCAAACCAGTATGATCCTTCACAGAGCCTTCAGACTTCTTCCCTAGGACAGCATTGCAGAGTCTGCCCAAAGCAGTGGACGCAATCTTCTCCGATATCAATGGTAAGCAATCTTCCACTCGAAGTGTTGGTCACCACAAAGCTTGCACCGGCAGTTTTGATTGAGGACATCTCCTAAAGATGCGACCAATGCAGATGCAGGATTTGATCCTCCCAAAGATATTTGCCCTTTTGGGTGGCTGTGTGCTTTTGCGCTTCGCACATCTTTACCTACCACTCATACACTAGGCTATGAGATAGCGCACTATGGCGCTTCAGCCCAATGCCACAAAACAAAGACGAGCAGCGAGAAAAGGGCGACTTTGAATGGGTTGACAAAGTTCTCAATTATTCTCACGTTTTCCAGTCAGCCTTGCTTTCAGCATTGCTCCTGGAAGCTGGTCTCTCGCTCGAGTCTTGCGCCCTGGGCCTAGTACTTTTGAGTCCTGAGTTCAGTCTGCTTCAGTCTAAGTTACTTGTAAATGTACGGAAGGCGGAAAAGATTCAAAGTCAGGCGGAAAGTTGACTCGTCTGACCATTATGAACAGGATCTAGCGGCTGAGAATGCTTGAAAAGGATTATCGACGGTGATGCTGGTCACAGAGGCGCGCCGGGCCGCGGCGCTGGTTGACGTCGTGATTCATGGATGGACCTGAAGGCTGTCAAAATTTCAAAGTTGGAAGTGGGTGAAGTTTGAACGTCGCCAGGAGAAGACTAGACTAGACGCAATTAATAATGACATCAGCAGGAGAATGCACAAGAACCTTGGCGCAGATTGCAAATTGTGGAAGCACCCTCGGCGTCAACGAGGTCGTACATAGGCTTTCAATAATGCATGAATACAGGAGAACTACAACGCTTTCAATTTTCAACCGCCCACCTTTTTCTTTAGCCTTTTAAGACGCATCTTGCAAAAGGGGCCAACACTTGCCGTGCCAAAAATTCGCTGTACAACTCCATGACTTGGTGTGCCTGTTCTGTGCAACCTTGGCGATCTTATGGCAGTCTTTTGTGTCCAGCACAACTTCAGAGAGGCCAGAGAGACTTGGCTGCGCCAACTTTTCGCAGCACTATAAGAGTGCATTCGAGCAATGGTGCAGACATCTTGCATACAAATGCAAGTGCGGCACAGACCTTACTGGTCAATGGAGCAGGGCAAAGTTCAACGGAAGTGGACGACAATGTAAGTAAATGCTGGAGTGCATTCGTTGGTGGGTGTCTGGTCCCCTCAACACTACTAAAGGCAGTGGTTCTTCGTTCAATGTCTCGATTGCCTGCGAGTTTGCAACTCAAGACAACTATTTGGATCCAATCTGGGGCATGGTTTCTATCTCAGAGTTGCTGGAATGTAGAATGCAGAAATATGCGGACTCTGGCAGCTTAGGGTTCCTGTAGCTGGTTGAACGCATGGCTGAAGTTTCTCATATGCTCCGCTGCACCTCCGCACCATTTCTCAAACACCTTATATAGAGCATCCTGAGCTGCACCAACAACATTGGCGATCAGAGCAGAAGGGTCCGAAATGTACTTGCTAGCGGGCACCTTTAGAATGAACATGGCTGCAAAGTACAAAAGCCTCTACATTGTCTTACGCCTTTTCACAGAGTCAAAAGGCCGGCACAGGTAGAATAGTCCTGACCAGAGTCGACCTCAGGTTGACAACCAGGTGCCTTGAGATACAGCATACTCCAGATACTCATCCATATGTACAGTAGTACTTCACGCAGGCTGCTTGCTGTGCCTCTACTGATCTCCTAGCAACCGGACTGGTAAGCTCCCAAGCTTTTCAACCCTCTTCTTGCTGCAGATCACCCCCCCAAAACTGCCGGAGTGGCTGAGTCGCCAATCACTCTCACACGATACTGTAGCCGACTCCCCTCCGCTCAATAAGGTATGCTTCAGAATCAAGTGCCATTTAAGTGATTCACAGTAATGCTGCAGCTCTTGAGATGTCAGCCCATGATCTGCCTGCACCACTCCCAGATGATTTGAGATTCCTGCCCTGAGCTAGCAAGCTCAATGTGAAGAGGATGTCATATGTGCAAGTTACGTGAGTGAAGAGAAGCAGTGCTGACTTAGGTGCACACTCCTTGGCAGGACAGCATCAATCGAAATGATGCAGCAGACTCAGGACCCCTCTTGACGCCGCACCCAGAGGTGGGAACTCCGAGGACCCTTGATCAGGCAACCTCGTTACTGGCCTTTTACTCCATGGTGTCAGTTGTTGCTTCTATTACTTGTTGAGATATCAGGCTTGCCATGTAAGCTAAAAGATAAGCAGGATCTAGTAGCTCGCAAGCCCCGGCGTATGGGTAGCTTTGAGGCCATGGTCTGCTGTCCCCTTCTGACTGGGCACCATGAAGCGGGTAGAAAGATCGACCATGTCATGATCTTATTGAATGCCTGAACTTCAAGTTGTCAACGGCAAGCCGCAAGAAGGCACGATTGCCACCAAGCTCTGACGATTTCGATCTGACAGGCGCTCCTCAACAAATATGGACCCCACTGTTTTTGATCCTGCCTCCGATTGTTGCAGCTCTCCGCAATCGCTGCTGTGGAGGCTCAAGTGCAGGCCCTTCAATTCAACGATCTTCCACGACCCGATCATGGCGTTGAGGTACGATAGATGTTGCTTTGGCGCGCTTCTAGGCTTTTGCGGGCGTGTCACTGTCCGATGTTCCGTGATGGTTGATCACACGGCTTTTCTTCTAATGATCACACGGCTTCTCTTCTAATGTTCAGGCTTGAAGATGCGCAGCAAACGCGCATTCAATCCTAAAGGCCGGCCTCGCTTTCATTGGAAACTGCAATATCTGAGGAAGACTCAAACTGCATGCGTGAACACCCGAAGTCCTGAGTTGTTGGTTCGGTCGTGAAGAACAACCATTAGTTGGCGTAAAAGCCCGAGACTCGAAGGCAGAGGCGATGAGCCAGCAATGCTAAAGTCTGTCGCCCAAACGCTGGGAGCATTGCCTGACTCCTGATTTATCTTTTGCGTAGGTGCTGTATCACTTTGCCAATGCCGAAGGCACCCTCGGGGGCTCGTCTCTGCCCTGCTACTTTGGATTCCCTTCGGACCTGTACCACTTCGGACACTTCTGCCTAAAGTTCAAGACACGGTAAGCGCAACAATGTACGCTACAGCTTCCAGAATCGGTGTCGCACGTATCCATTCCTGGAAGATGTTTGACGTCCGACTTTGAAGCAAGGGGTGTGGTGGTCCGATACAAGGAGAGTGTCAACCCAAAGGCTGCTCGCATGGCTCTCCGAAGTAAGCCATGGACACCTTCGCGTTCATTGGATGCAGGTACAAAGACTTTGTCAATTTCTCGAGCTACGAGATCCATGACATAACGCAAAAGCCCACACGCTTGGCTCAGGACCGGCTGCAATTGCCGGATGAAGACCTTGACTCAGGGGAAGCAGGCAAGTGCGATTATTTACCCACAGAGCAGCCAATTGGAGCCAAACGACACCTTGAGGTCTGCATAATCTTACCAAGTAAAGGCAGAGCCATTTACGATTTTCATCTGGTGACGAGTATGCGAGGAATTGCGGGGCCGTTTTGGCTCACCGACCGTCTATTGAGGAGGCCTACAGTGTGACGAGTTCTAGCCGTTTGCTACAAAACTGGTCGCTAGAACTTGGAATACACGAATCTGCCCTGATCATGCTCCATCCTTTATCTAGATTGTGTGTTCTAAAGATACATCTAGCGGATGCAGAGCGCTTGTTCGGGCCAACCGTCCAGCCAACGGGCCCCTCTCATGGATCCCATGTGAGCTCGAGCATGAACCTGGACCCGCGGTTCGTAGGCACTGAGGCCCCTCTATTTCGGGCCTGATATTTTGAGTAGCCAGGACTTTCCTACTATGAAATGAAATGGAAACTGTGCACTGAGCTCATGGTGTTGCTAAAAGGGTTCATGCAATGATACTAGGATCAGATATTCGATCGATGAGTCGCTTCTCCTCATAGCTGGAGTCTAGTTTTCTTATACTTTTCTCAACGACGGTCAGATTGAGGATCCGGACATGAATCACAGCCGTAGCAAACTGTATCGAGTCAACAAACTATCCCGGGTCTGCCGAAGGCTGTGCTCCATGGCTCTAACGTGGCTAAAGGCGTTACCTCTGGCAATGAGAAGTTACTATCATTGGCGTTGATGCAAACGGCCTAGGGTATGTACGTTAAAGTGGCATTCATGCAATGCTTTAGTCCGGCCTTGCGAAACCAACCGAGCCTGAGTGCGCATGATCCCATCCGACCCGCTTGTGCATGCAACACATGCGCGGGCCCACATAATTGAACAACCACATGAGTTAATCGGCCGGTGACTTCGACGTAATTTTAATGCTGCGGCCGGGGTGTGGGCTACTATATACATGCATCTGGCTCCGTAGCATGGTACGTTTATAGTATACCTGATGTGCATTCTGCTCAGAGGCGTTTCACATCATCATTGTCATGCATATATATGATATGTATACATGACCGCACGCGTCATGACCTGGCATACAGGTGCACCTATATGCCAGGTCCTCAATTGCCTGGCTGAACTTCAAAGCAGGTAATATGCATGGTGGCAACTTAGACATGATTCATATACTACAGTCCCGAGGCTGAACCTCAGACTTATCAGTGACTCAGATCATCGCTTGCGCACGCTAAGGAAATATATCAATGGTTCGGGAAACTCTATCTTCATGGGTGGATGCACGAGCTTAACTTCACTATATCGAAAGTTAGAATAAGAGTCTATTACAGGCCGCGCAAAAGCAATTCTACTCCCAAGGCCGGGGAATCAGTAGTAGCCACTTAACCACAATTCTTTTCAACGTACAAACTTCGACTTGCCATTCGCAAGGGTCCCACTGAAGATGAGTCCCCAAGGTTCCACGCCTCCACCTTCAGGTATACCTTTGAGGCAGCAATTGACTGGCAACAGCAACTCGCTAGCTGCAAACCGTCCAACCGTCGTGTTTTCAACATGGCTGGTGACTAAGAAGCGTCCTAGCTGCAAGCTCGCTTATAAATTGTATAATGCACTGCCAGTGTCGGCGTCCTGGTTATGCTGCTCGAACATAAGGTTCGCTTAGCATGTCAAGGTTGTCAAGGGCGGACAGTCGGGGGACAGTCGTTCCGTACCTGCACTCACGATGGGCAAAAACATAGACGTTATTGATCAAGGGCAAATCCTCCATTCCGAATGCAATGCAGGAGCAGATCTGATCAAATGCTAGCAAGATATGTCCATTGATCAATGGACATTCAATCTGCAAGGCTGCATACTAGTTGCTCCAACAAGATCAGATTATGTAGCCTGATCAAGAACGTCAATGTTGTCGCTCATTATTGACCTGTGCTGTCCAGAAGTATCAGCAGGTTTTTCAGCACAACGGTGTGGCAGGAAAAACCATCGTTTGTTGCTAAGGTCATTTATAGGTGGCATCATGAATATAGAGTTCTGAGCGAGGTAATCACTGCTGAGAAAGCCACTACAACATCGTTGGAATATCGACAAACGAACCTCACTCCACACATGACGCCTTGAAGAAGAAGTCCTCACACACCATGTGAGCACAAAAACCACCGCCGCAGAAATGACGGCCTCTTGCCCTCTGCCTCCCCTTTTCTGCTCGAAGTGTTGCCCACTGGAGCTTCGCTGCGCCTATCTTTTCCAATGCTGCTTTCTATCCCATTCTTATGAGAAGCTCTTGCAGATGCCTTCGTCCTTTTGCTGCTGCTAGAAAAGGATCCAAGACTGTGAAGATGGGGCCGGCGTCCAAGGAGGGTGGGAGCGGTGTAACCTGACGACTTTTTTGGTGCCTGGAATGTTGCTGAACGCGTTCTACTTGCAATCCGCTTGCGCTCATTTCTGTCCGAGGTAAGAACTATTGATGTAGCTACCCCGCCTGCCAACGACATGGCGCTGCTCTTGACCAATACAAAATTGTTGTATTCTTGAGACAACCCAAACGATTCGTTCCCAAGTTGAGCTCAATGCTGGTTGCACGACGAAGTCCTTCCCAATCAGAGCCGCATCACTGATTGAGGCCTAATCAAATTTGTCTGTGAAAGCAATTCAGAGTCCCGTCAAATGTTCCATAGCAGGATCTTTAGAGAGTCATTGCCAAGTCGTCAGAATCTAAGTCAAATCATACATAATGTGATTGGGAGGTGCTAACCAGTCGAGGTGCAGAGTGTGAAATATTGCAGATCCAAATTGTTTGAAAAAAGGTCCTATGTTGCCGGAAATATGTAGAAGGAACTGCTGTGGCGGCATCAACTTTGCAAGCAGCTAGAGGATCCAATTTAAATACTTTCAGCATGCGGAAGGTCTCGGTGCTTCCAGCAACTAAATGTGAGTGTAATGAAAGCAAAGCCTTCTCTATGCGCCTTCCGTTCTTCACCAATCCGAAAGAATTTCAGAGTTTGAAGACGCCCCCTCACTAAAGGCTCGCCCTTGGGCATCCTCCTCCAGGCGCTCCTACAGCCTACAGGTACTCGGCGCTACAGCAAGCAAGAAGGGCCGTGTCAGAAGCCTAAGCCTTAAAGGCTAATGTTCATATGAGCTCGCGGGGAGTGAACACTCCAGGCACGTGGTAGGCGGATCTGCCTTGTCATCCATCATCGACGGACCAAAGCCTCCGATGAAGCTGACGTGGACTTTGGAAGCCCTTGTGCATCACGCGAACGTTGCCACATTCACCAGCTACTGGCAAGACCTGCCAGTGGCCTCCAATAGGTACCCGCAACCGGTCGCCGCAACCCCTTCGCGCCAGGAGGTTTTCTGGGAATATGTGCTCATCGCTTACGCTAGATACCTACCTCAGACGCATCTCATTCGCTGGATAGGGTAGGTAATGGCGCCATGATCAGGCCACTGAAGAGGGGTTTGGAGTCCTAATAGCCTCAGGCTTGCAGTGGGGACCAGCTTGCTAGGTACTGCAATGTGGCGCGGCGCATGTTTCAATGCCTGCTTTCTGCTGTTCTCAGTTCTGTGAAGAGCTCCTGAAATGAAGAAGACGTGTAGATTTCTTAATGAAGGGTGCCCCTGTTAAAGCTTCTTGAAGGTGCCCATGTTAAAGCTCACGATAGCCTTGACCCGTCCTGGCAGCGGTGTATTTCTGCCAGCTTCTTCCTCTCTTCTCCAAGCAACTACTTCTGACTGCGAAGCTGCTCGTTTGAAAGCAACAGCAAAGTTTAGGTAAGTGTGTCCGGACGGAAGTGCTTTTGTTTCTGCAGAGATGTCGACATCTAGCTGGTCTCCCTTGTGTGGCAGCCTTGCAGTCTGCAGACCAAGGGATCACCAAGGTAGTCACCTATTTACCTGATTGCAAATGCACAAAATGGACGAGATCGCAAGTAAAGTGAAGAAATCTAATGATTGCATGAGAAGGTAACTCTTGAAACTTTGGCTCTTTGAGCAGTCAATATGTTCTCGATGGCGTTGGCGAAGGAAGTTGAATACCTATAACAGCATTCGGGGGTTAACTTGTATCTTCTGAACTTGTGATGTTTCTTCGGGCATGGGTGGCAATCCTTGTGTATGCTGTGGTGAGGTGTTTGATCAGGGGCTGAATGCCGCATTGCAGATGTTTCGGTCACTAGCCCAGCTTGCTCACTTAGTCTCCGCCCAATGCTCCCCTGATCTGCAATGGCCGAAAAGCATCTGTCGCCTTTGAAGCTCACTTTTAGATGGCTCCGGATAGCAACGAAGACTACTGCATCCCCTCATACAAGGGTGTCCAGTTTTGAAGGCAGTTCTTCTTCCCCGCTCTTTCAGCTGTCGTACACGAAATTGAATTGTTAGTCACCTGAACAAGTGCACCAGAGACTATCTGCACACTCAATCCTCACACCTCTATTGTGCAATGTCCTCCTGAGCCACTACATGCAGCTTCTTTTTAACCACCAACGGGTCTGCAGGTTAGGCATCATGGAGAATCATCTAGAGCGTCTCGAGGCCGGCCTGGCTGGCAAGCAGTCCGTTCCCGGCCCCCACTCAACACATGAAGCATCTATTCCGGAGACTTCAGTTGTGGCTAACGGCGAGGAAGCTTTAGGGGTTCCCAAGTCTAGATGGGGCTTTACAGGAGGCTTTGAGGGGAAAAGTAAAGGCAATGGGGATGCAGTGGACGGGGGAAATAGGGGAGTCTGGCGGAAAAGGTCGGGCGGGGCAAGGAGCGATACGGGAAGCGAGGATGGCGTGAAGAGGATCAAGAACGCACCGGCAAAGCATGCGCCGACTCTCGGAACGCTGAATGGGGTGCTCATCCCCACCTGCGAGGTATGCACAGACATGAGATGATTTGCAGTGGATAAGCTGTTAGGCAACTCCGCAAGCTGGCCACAGAACAGTTTTCCTTGAGGAGCGCTAAACGGAGACGCCGCAGAGTGCACTGCAGGCTGCTGACCCTTCTAACTAGAACTGGGCAAGTACAGTTGAACTGGGTTTGAAAAATCTGCACAAGCCAGAATCTCGCTAATGCAAAGTGTGCATGACGACAGACGAAAACATACATGTTAAATCAGAGGCTTTGATGGGACCGGTGACCATGCACTCCGGAGAAGAGCATTCTGTTTGTACTTCAGGCTACTTACGTTTGCAAAATTAGCCACGCTGGATGATGCATCAGGGGCCCTGTTTGAGTATCTAGTTGCAAAACTGTTTTTGGTGGGACGTATCATTCTCCACCAGTCCTCGGCCATGTTCTAAGCGAAACGGATCCTTGGACACAAGGAGCACAGCGAGGGTTGCTGACAACCGACCGAGTTCTGAAGATAGCTATACTGTAGCGCTTGCATACTGATCCCAAAAGTCCTTTTTTGCAGAACATGTGGGGCGTCCTTATTTTCCTGCGCTTCTACTACATTGTCGGAAACGCGGGGATCTGGCAGGTGAGCTCGGCTCCAACTACGAATTTGGTCTAAGCTCCTCTGAGGCACATACATCCAGTGGTCTGCTTGTGTGTGAAAATCAAGAAGTGTCAGGCTGTACCAACAGCCTTTTCGGGAGTCGTCTGAAATTTCTGACAACTGTCGGTCAGTTGGTAATGAAACGGCTTGCAGATGGAGATGTCCACAGGCGCTCTGAGTCTGTTGTGAATGTCCTCTGAACTGCATCGAGACTTCGTCAAGAGCCTCGAACCTGCCTTTACAATCAAATGCAATGGGACCTTTCACAGGGTGCTGGACAAACGGATTTTGCAGACCTTTGCTCGATGATTTGATCAACTTTCAGTCGGAGGACCAGGCACATATTCGGAGAGCCAATTCTACCATCCACCATTCCATCTACCGCAGCATGTGCAACGTGTCTCATTAATTTACATACCCCTGTTTCGTTCTCTTCGCAGTCGTTAGTCATTGTGGCCATCTCGCTCCTCTGCGCTCTGCTGACATCACTCTCCCTGAGTGCCATCGTCACTAACGGGCCTGCGCGCGAGGGTGGCACCTACTTCCTGATTAGTCGTGCGCTGGGGCCGCGCATTGGGGGTGCCGTTGGATTCATGTACTTCCTGGGAGTGTCCCTTCTCGCTGTCCTGGAGGTGAGGAACTGATGAGTCATGATATGTATTCATCACAAAAAGGTGGTTGTGTCGAGCTTGCAGAGTTGATTCGAACATAAGTTTGGGCGGGCCGGGGGATTATCACAGGTTTGCTGTGCTTAAGAGGACACCATGAGCTGTGCTTGAGAGGACACCGGAGAGTTGTTGGGAGGGGAAGCATCACAGGTTGCATTTCGAGATAGTTGAGGCAGGACCTCCACAAGGGAAATCCGGTGCTTGGAGCAAGACACAGGGCGCTCAAAAGAATAGGTACAGAGATGACATGGAAGACTTCCTGACGGGGCTAAGCATAAGAACGCGAAACGAAACGGATGTACAGAGCATTCAGAGCAGTCGCTGGCAGATACGCTTGAGTTACAAACGGACAACAGAGTAACTTCAGGCCGCGGTTGTGTTGCGGTTCTTTTTCCTTCTTGTCAGGGGTCGCGTTTTGCTGCCTTGTATCCATAGAGCTATGCCGAAAGCATTAGCCCGGAATGTTATCAGTGGTGAGGTAGAGGGACCCTTCCAACTTGGGAATCGGCAGCAAGATTTTGATTGTACTCTATGGTGCAGGCACTGGGAGCGGTCGAAGTCCTGGAGTCGGCCTTTCCTGCCCTGGCCTTCCCTTCGTCGAACCGCATCTTTGGGGCAATCATCGTGCTGGCTTTGGGTCTCCTGGTGAGCGAAATGTCCTGCTTGTCTTTCTACTCTTTCGATTCGAGCGAAGTCCAGGACACGCGCTGGTGGCATTCACTTCTGTCGAGATTCTGTTCAAGAGGAGAGCGGGGGCTTTAGAAACGGCTCTTCTTACTACTCCGCAAATATTCACCAATCTAGCATCGTGGGACACGCCAGTAGCGTTTGCATACATGGTTTCTGGACCCGAATCCGCTCTTTGAATTCCTCACGTTTAAAAGATTCACCAATCTGCTCACGATGGCGTTCTTTCGGTGAGGCGAATAGAATGCCGTGTCCCTAAATCCTCTATCAAACCGCTTTCAAAGCTGAAGGTTAGAAGCTTCATCTCCGCAGGTGGTGGTGGGCCTGAAGTCTTCTTTTCTCGTGCGGGGCGGAGTGAAACCCGTTCTCCAAAATCATTCGAGTTTGAGTTGGAATCCAGTCTGAATCGTCCACAATTCACAGGTACCGCTGGGCCTCCAGTTTGTGTCTAGCTTAGCCTTGTCTTCTTCGGCGTGGTCCTCCTTATTATAGTCTTGCTTTGCTTAGCAAATCTAAACCTGGTCCTTCACATTTTTTACGTTCTTGATTTCGAGACTACTTACCTCGTTCTTCGCAGGTGCTGGTAGGGCTCAAGCTCGTGCCCAAGCTGAGCGTTGTCTTTCTTCGGCGTCATTCTCCTCATATGGCGTTGTTTTGGAAGGCAAATGCAACCCTTTCCTGCGAATTCTTTGACTTCTGGACTTTTTTAATTGTTCCTGTTCAATTCCTGGGCCTCAAATTATGTGTCGACCAAGCTGAGCGTCGTCTCCGGCGTATTCCTGTGCACAATGGCCTCCTTTCACACGAATCAAAACGCGTTTCCCAACACTTTTACTTCTAAATCTGAAAATGCGACTGTTCACCTCCAGGTACTGGTCGGCCTCAAATTCGTGTCCAAGCTGAGCGTCGTCTTCTTCGGCGTGGTTCTACTCACGATGGCCTCCTTTTACATGGGCCTGTTCCTCGCGCCCAAGGGCGGCCGTCCGCCAGAGCTCACCGGTCTGTCTTGGGAGACGTTCAAAGCGAATTGGGGCCCGGGTTATGAAAAGGGGGTCAATTTCCCGGTCGCTCTTTCCGTGTTCTTCCCGTGCTACACCGGGATCCTCAGGTGATTGGGAAAATGCTCTGCGTGGAAGAGCGTTTTGTCATTCTTTGCAGTGGTTGTGTCGATTCTCTGTTTCTTTGTGTCGAAGGGAATACGGGGGGCCGTTGTAAATGGCAGCCGTCTATTCCCTTCCTTACATAGTGCCTGCTAGCCGGTCGACCTTCCCTTCTGACGGCAGGCAAGCCTCACAGATAATCACCTGCTTTTGAAGCAATTTAGTGGAGGAATTTGGGTGGAGACCGTGTTTACTGTTCGCAATGTTTACCCTGGTATGCTGAGTGAGCGACGAGGTTTTCACTTTCCAAGTTCCTTTAGAACAGCAACCTCTGGATGCTGCTTCCATATCGTTACGAACGTCAAGAAAGCGATAATAGCCCTTCTGAACGAAAGCTCTTGTCTGCAGTGGCGCGGACCGTGCCAGCAACTTGAAGAAGCCCCAGGTGTCCGTCCCCCGGGGGACGATTGGAGCCATCACTTTGAGCAGCGTGAGCGTCTCAACTCATTCTCCCCGTTTATTACTCTCCTTGGTTTCCCACTTTGCAGGCAGCGTAGTGTTTAAGAACAGTCATACAGACATTTGGAAGGAGAGCCATTCGTCAGGAGTTGATTCCCGTCGGCGATAGCATATAGGAATCAAACATAAGTCCTTCTTGGCCAACATCGCTTGGAACCTGGCAATCACACTCTGAATTGGCCCTCAGTGGTATTACCCGAGTGCAGGGGTCGGTAGGGGCACGATTCGAGGTCCCCGACTGGAACTCTTTGTCCATTTAAATCCGTGTGCTCGTTTTGCTCAACCGTCATGCCGTCTGTAGCTATCCAAAAGAAACAGGTAGTGGTTCCGTTTCTCTTTCCGCCCATGAATCCGCTAATGAGAGTCACAAGTCCGAAGGGCGCGTTGTACCCGGACGCGTTCCAAGTGTTGCGCCCCAACTAAATCTTCGAGCGGTTCACCGCATCAAGTCTGCTCTTTTCTGACGTCCTCTCCCTTCTAATGACGCCCCTGGGAGTGGAAAGGGTCATACCGGGTTTCTCTTACACGAGAGAGTTCAGAGTCTTGGTTTTGGTTCTGATTCTATCCTACATTCCCTCGAACTTTTGCACAAGCCTTCCACCCCCCGGAGTCACTTCCCTTATTCGGCAGTTTATGTCCTTCAAAGATATGTAGCGTAGGCAAGCGGCTGGACTTGCAATCAACAATGCATCACTGTGTTTCACCACTACTAGGGCCTGCTTGGCGCTGAGACGTATGGCAGATGTGTTGTTCCACCTTTTCCATATCGGCTATCCGGAACCTTTCCGTGCGATGCAACGCGACTTTCACCCGGTCTCTTGCAACCAGCATTACCTAGGCTTTGCTGATATCCCGACTGCTTCCAACGACCGAGGGTTTTAAAACGATTCTTTTTTGTTGGCCGTCCTTCTGTTCCACCTGCTTTCTACCTCGTCAAAGTCATTGCTGATTGATGCGTTCTTCCGCAGTTCATCTACGTCACCTACATGTGCCTCTGGGGGGCTGTTGGCACCCGCGACTACCTGCTGGGAAATCTCGAACCGCTCCAGACGCCCGGCGGACGCCGATTGCTTTCCGGGAACGTGGATTCTCAGGTTCGTCTTCAGGAGTATTTGAGCGGTTTGGTTGTTCAGCCATGAATGCTGGAGACGATGCAAACCATTGTACCTGCAACAAATACGGATTACGAAGAAGCCGGTTCGTTGGTTAGGGTTGCATTCGTCACAAGCCTGTCACATGGTACTGATACTCAGCTAGGCCCAGGAAAGCACTCTCACAATCACGTAAGTTTCTGACGAACCCCAAGGCTTTGACTGGCTTAAAGTGGGCCGCGTGCAAAATCTTGCTGGGCTGATCTCTCGAAACCTGCGTCCGCACCTACCAGGAACGCATGTAGAAAACATGCACCGTGATCGCCGACAAAGGCACGTCTTAGACAGAAAAGCATTTCGGTTGTCACGTTTTGGTTGAAGCCCATAAAGTGCTGCTTGATTGCAGAAGCCTTCTTTTCCCTTTTAGAATCATGTTCCATCTTCTAGTGGTTTGTTTTGATGACTTAACTAGAAAGTCCTCCCCCTTGGAAGTTTTGCGATCCTTGGAAGTTAACTGCGACGAAAGGTTTAGTATGGGGTTAAGAGTTTCGCGCTTTCGAAGCAGGGAATCTGCTGGGGTTAGTAGGGGATTAGTCGCTCAAGTTTCGATCTCGGTCAACGCGGTCAACCCGGTAAGGGTTTCGGCCAATGGGATCACGAATAAAAATGCCTTACCGTTTTTGGAACATGTAATGTCAACAAGGGAGGCAACACGGCGCTGTTTGATGGTGACAGGTGATTCCGGACATTGTGTGGCCGGTGGCTAAAGTGACGCAGATTGGGATCATCATTGCGAGTCTGGCGCAGGCGCTACAGTGCTTGATCACGGCGCCTAAACTGCTGCAGGTGGGTTAGCGACTGAAACTCAACTTTGTGGATTGTTAGAGAATCATCTTTGCGAGCCTGGCATACGCTACAGTGCTTAAACCACAGCGCTGAAGCTACTGCGGGTGCGTTAGCAACAAACCGTGTGTTAGGGAGTATCTGCGGCTCAATGGTTGTGTATCTTCTGGTCCCGTTGCTTAAGGAGATCTGAGCAGGTCAGATTATGAGAACAGCGCCCAAGCTGTTGCAGGTGGTTAGTAAGGGAGAGAGCCGTAGGTTTCTGCAATGATTGAAGCTTTCCGGATTGACCGTTGCTTGGGGAAACCCGTTCCTTACGAAGAAGGTTTGAGAAGGTCGGTTGTCGAGTATTTAGCTTGAGCTCCTGATAATGGAGTTTTGTCGTTCTATCATGATGTCGGGTGTCGTTATCAGCTCTGTCTCGTCCTTTACCATCTCTTCTCCCTTTCCGACTGCCTAGGAGGCATTCCCAATTTATCGGTTCAATATTCGCAATGGCTTCATGCGTTCTGCTTCCCACCCTTGTTCCTTACAAATCCACTGGTCATCATGACGGGGGTAATGTTATCTGCAAACAGTTGCCCACGCAAAGTGTGAACACCAAGAATGGAGCCTCTGTGCACCCAATTCTTCTTTCCGTGCCGCTTTGCAAGCAATTCCGTTCCAAGCCGAACGCCATTGGTCAAAATGCAAAGGTCTCTTTGGTCTTGCGGCCATGAGAAAGTGAGCGCGGAGAGCGAGCCCGGGCTTATCTTCAGAGGTCCCGCTTTCCGTTCACTGTCCAATCCTTTGTTCCGTTCCGTTCTGCAAGCCATCGCCAAGGACGCCGGCATCGTTTCGAAGGACTCGAGCGCCAAGAGCGGAGCCTTAGCGCTCGATGTACTTCTTTTCCGTTCCGCTGCTCACTCGTTCCGTTCGTTCCGCAGGCCATTGCGAAGGACGACATCATCTCGTTCCTGCGGCCCATGAAGAAAGTGAGCGCCAAGAACGAGCCGATCCGCGCACTCGTCTTCACGATCATCCTGTGCGTCTGCTTCTCCTTCATTGGCTCCCTCGACCAGGTAAGTCGCGCTTTAGGTTGCG